TAAGTTTTTCTAAGATTGTAAAACCCTCCTTTCATTCTCCAGCCTATTCTTTTCTCAGTATTGACTTCTAGCTTCCAGATCGCTCATTGCTAAAGTTAGGTAGTGTCCTAATAATGTCTTGTCTGTAAACATTTTTAACAGTGAGCCAACATGTGGGCACTCAGGGCAGCAGCAATTCTTGGTAGACCTAATATTGTTTGACAGTCAAACCCTGCACGTCCTTAGTCATCCTTTGATCATTATTTATATCTTCACTTTTCTTCATCCATCTGAATTAAAATGCCCTTGACAGAACGCTCTATTATATCATGTGGTGATCACTGCCTTTTCCTCTGAGCATGCAGCTTTGGAATAATATATTTTAGCACTTTTCTGCCAATGAGATCACAGGCTTGTCCTTAGGGAGATCAACACAGTGAGTCAAGGCCAGAGAGTCTAAGCTTTTGACTCTGACTTGCTGAATTTCCAGACAATTTTGTACTGAAACGTCCTTCTATGTATTCACTTTAGTTAACAATCAAACGACCCCTATTTAGATCTGGAAACTTCTAAGCTAAGGAAATCATAGATCTGGCCTAGGTGAGAAAAACCTGCCCAGACTTGGAGGCTTATATCAGGATGTAGCCTACAGGAGACAATGAGCCGTTTTTATCAATGCATTCAAATCGTCTTTAAATGGCCAATTGATCTCAAGCTAGAGAATCCCACACTTATATGTCTTTTAAATATTTTTGTGGAAAACAAACTAGCTTTTCACTTTCAACTCAAGACATCCTGGTCATGGCTATCAAATATTACAAATTTAGCTGAGAAATCATGGGAAACTAGAGCCAAGTTTTAACATAGTAAAGTTTCTTCTAGTTCAATAGTCCCCAACCTTTTTGGCACCAGAGACCAGACTCATGGAAAACAATTTTTCCACAAAGGCTGTCTTAGTTACTCTTTTGTGACTGGGACAAAATACCTGACATCCATGAGTTAAAGGAGGAAAGGTTTATTTTAGCTCGCAGTTTTTAGGGGTTTTAGTCCATAGTCAACTGGTTCCAAGTCATGGCAGCATGACAGAGGAGAAACAGTCCATGGCAGAGCTGGCAGGGAGCAGCAGCAGTAAGCCTCCCTTTCCTTTTTATTACATCTAGACTATAAGCCTTTAGAATGGTGCTGCCCACACCCAGAGTGGGCCTTCCCATTATCCACCTCTAGAACTATGCTAAATCCATTTAGTTATCATCCATCCTTAATCCCAGTATCACACACCCTTGATCCAGCCACCTCTGAAAAACTCCACCTATGAGCACATGAATTTGGCAATATATCAAGATACAAGCCATAACAGAGGGGTTGGGGGGAATAGTTTCAAGATTAGATTTATGTAAGGTGTACACATCCTAGATCCCCCAAATGCAAAGTTCACAGTAGGGTTCATGCTCCTGACAGGAGGATGTAATGTGAGCCATGAGGAGCAGCTATGAATACAAATGAAGCTTCATTTGCCCACCCACTGCTTGCTTCCTGCTGTGTGGCCTGGTTCCTAATAGGCTACGAACTGGTACTGACCTAGGGCTCTGGGGATTGGGGTCCTAGTTCAACATGTCATCATATTAAAGGGCTTAAGAGATCAGAAAGGAGCACAGGCATTTGCATTCTTTGGTGGAATAAACTTCCTGGCCATTATAGCCTGAATATAGATGAATGGTGAGAGAATAAAGATTATAAATTCACAACCTGCTTTCAATTATAATCCATGGCTAGTGTTCATTTATGCAAATACTTGCCATTTCTTCCTTTAACTCCAAATGGCATCACCATCAGGTAAAGATTCTACCATCTTCCATTAATACATTTACTATTTTTTTCCTTTCACATTATGAAATTTCTAAAATTTTTCCCACATTGTGCTTTGATCAATATTTGCATTCTGAAAAATACATTAACAAGTCCTCCATGAAATACATCCTTCCTTCTAGCAAGTTTGGGAAACAGTGCATATCACCTCTTTTGGGAGACCAGAGGAGAATTGAGGCTTAATTGGCCTCCTCTGTGAGCAGAGGAAGAAAGGCTGCCCTCAGGAGTGATGGCAATTGCAGGTTCTAGGAAAAGGTTAAAACAGCTGAGGTTAAGTTGTTTCTCTGAGCATGTACTAATGGATATTGGAAAGCAGATGAACTGTATTACTTTGATTGCTTGTACTCATGTTTGGGTGAATAAATGTCAGATGAGCCAGAGGTGTGTATGGGGGGGGGTCCTCTATCTACTACAGACAAGAGCCCCCTAGCTGCCTGCATGTTAAACTGACTCCATGTCTCTTTGCATCCATTGTTGTTTGCCCCTGGGTCAGGGAGAACAAAGTAGCAGGCTTAGGCCCCCCACAAGTGGCACCTAGGTGGAGAAACCTCAAAGGAGTGGGCTGGCTCCCACAGGTGGCACCTGAGGCAGGAGGGACCTGAGACGGGTGGTGAAAGCCAGCTAGTAGGTCAGCTACAGTTGGCTCCCAGACTAGAAACCGGGGTTGGTTACAACTTTTCTCCTCCTAAGTCATGCTTGTTATTGTATTAGAAGACTGGGGAGGTTCTATAATAAACCTGTTTAACTTTTTCTTAAATTTGTTGTTACCACAAATACTTACTTGCAAGGTATTTATGTGTGTGTTGAGACCTAATAGCGTCTGTGGAACACAGGTATTTGGCAAGGTGTTCTATTTTGTTTTTTTGAGACAGGGTCTCAGGTAGGCATTGAACTCACTTTGTAGCCCAGGCTAGCCTTCTCCTGCCTCAGCCTCCCAAGTGGTGGGATTATAAATGTGTCAGAACACCTAGCTTGGCAAGCTATTCTAAAACAGCTTATGCTTGTTGATTCTATGTTTTTATTCTTATAATTGTATTAAATCTACCATCTCAGAGTATACCAGCAATCTCCAAAAAGCAGAATCCAGTTACTGATTTTTCATTTGCCTCACTGATTATTGGTTTTAACATTTCTAGGCAGGTCTTCAAATCTACAACATACACATATCCTTCTAACTTCCAATTTGGAATTCATAATTCTTTATGACTGTCATCAACTATTCATCTCTTTTCTTATGCTCACAATGTCCACTGTCCAGACTTCTTAACGTGGCATCTATCACCCAGACCCAGTCTCACTTACCATAGAGCTCTTCTAACCACATCCACAGATCTATATCCTCTTTTAAAAATATTTTTTAAAGATTCAAAGTTTTAATTAATTTCCATACTGATAAAAATAATTCCATGAATTTTGTAAACCATTGCATAAATGCTACAGTGTAAAAAAAATTTAAACAAGTTTTAACAATTTTAAACAATTCACTACAAATAAATGATTATGCATTATAAATATGATCTGGGCTGGGGATTTAGCTCAGTGGTTCCACTGCCTGCCTCGCAAGTGCAAGGTCTCAAGTTCGGTCCCCGGCACCAAAAAAAAATAAACAATAAAAACAATAAAACTGGGACTTTATTAAAAAAAATAAAAATATGACCTTCTGTGTTAAGAAAATTCCACTCACATAACATTCTGATCTAAATGCTCAAAATAAAAACACATGGGGCTTCCGTAAATTAATCCACATGAAGTGTCCATACTGGGTACGTGAACGTGGCAACACTATCATTTACTAATATTTCACACTAGAGTCAAAAGACAACAGCCAGTAAGAACAGCATTGCTGCTTACCCCACAGTTTCAGCTCCCACACCAAGACCCCACTTCTATCACCTACATCTGAGGTGGGAGCCTGCCCATCCCCAGCTGGGCTCCTGGGTCATGCAGGATGACTTCCAGGGGCCACAGGCAGGTGGGGAAGGACCTACAATGAGCAGCCTCCCATGGTCTTGCCACACTATTGGCTCACTCCTGGGTAGTTCTTTGGTCTCCCTGCACACCTGTCCTCAGCCTGTTGTGATCCCAGGAGAGTGGGTGCTCAGGGCCAGGTACCTCACTGTGGGACGCAGTTGGCAGCTCCCAGCCATTGCTCCCACCCTAGAACATTAGCCCTGTAGAGAATCTTCAGAGCACTGGCCATATTCCACAGGAAAAACTGACCAGAGTAGCTTATAGACAGATCTAAAGCTTAATGATTCTTATACCTGGCTCATTGCCATCACTGTGTGTGTTTTCATGCTCATCTTGTTAAGGTTAAAAAGCTTCCCTTTTTGTTTTGCTTAATCTTACTTATGCTGAAAGCTGATCACCTTTGCTGATCTAGTATTTTCTCATCATTTCTGTATTTTTGAATTGTCATTTTTTCCCCTTAGACTGTAAATTCCATAAGGGCAATGGCCATACATGTATTTTTACTTATGAAATATCTAGCTTAGCTCCATAGATAAGTATGCTGTAGATGTCCAATATGTTTATGTTTGATTGAATCAAAATTCTTTTGAGTTTCTATAGTGCATGCTTCTCATGGCCTTAACTCTTGTTTGCTGTTAGTATGAATTATTTTATGTTCGTAGCTACCATTCTGTGCACTTCATGAATCACTTGAAAGAATAACAAGTTCCTTAACCTTACATGTTGGGAATTATGTGCATTTGTAATACCCACTGCAACTAGACAGCGGCTCATGCATAATAAGTGCTGAATAAGCCTTGAGAGATTGGCTATTTAATGCACAGAATAGTACAAGTCTTGTTTTCCTATGTGACGACCCACATAAGCTTCTGTTTTCTGTTTCCTCCTTAGCAGTTACCATCTTTCCTGGTCTTATTTGTAGATTTGTTTCATACATGTATTGATTGGGTTTGTGAACTCTTTTTTATTAGTATATGTTAGTTATACATAATAATTACATTCATCTTAGGGAATTGGTACATACACATATTGTGTCTATTATTTCTATTCCCTCTCTCCCTCCTTTGCCATATTCCCTTCCCAACTTCCTGAAGTCTTGAAGGGTGAAAATCTGTGTTTCATGGTTTCTATCTTTCAAATGGCTAAGACTTAAAAGGAAATAGTTAAATATAAATGGAAAGAAGTTGAACTGGTCACACTACAATTTATTATTATTGACACTTAGGATACAATGTTACTATTCTAATCTTTTATGCAGACAAAAATGAATAATATAAAATACATAATGTACTTTGATAATTTTAACCACACACAAAATATGAAGTGATTGAACTTATGTCACAGATATTTTACAAAAAAAAAGACTAATAACACTTTCAGATGAAATTTATCATTAAATTGTTGATGTTATACAATGTTAAATATACATATGTTCAAAACAATTACTATTTAAAAAGAACCAATTTGATATTTTACTGTTTAAAATAGTGAATATTGAGTACATGAGTACTTATAAAAATATTTTTAAGCAAAATTCTATGTTCTACTCATTCACTTCACAGTTACAAAAATATATATTCATCTGGAATGCTAATAAATTTTCTTGTGCATTAGACATTCAAATTCAAATGTATGTTTTCTAAGATATTTCACCAACTTAGTGTTCTTGGCTACACACAGTATGTATATGTACATGTATTAGAATAGGTTTGGGTTACAAACAATGTCATTTTAGGTAAGAGACACAAGTAATCAATAACACATAGAAACACTGAAGATTTTTGATCCAAATATATGGAACACTTCCACCAGACCCGTGGCTATGCCTTGTGAAAAGAGAATTCTGGGAAACATTTGTTGAATGCATACATGGCATTTGCTGTTTTTTTTTTAATCTAAAATTAACTATTAAAAGCTTTCTATTTCTAGTAATGTAATTTTAAAATTAAAAAATTTTAATCATCTGATTTCAAATATCAAAGCCAGATCAACTGCTTTAGATTGAATAATGCTGTAGCTTGGAGGCTGAATACCCCCCTAAAAGTCTACATGTCAGCGGCTTGGTTCCAGGTAGCATTATTGGGAGGTGGTAGAACCTTTGGGAAGTGACGCCCACTGGGAGGCCTTAGGTCATTCGGGGTGCACACTTGATCCTGGGTACCTTGGACCTTTCCTCTCTCCTTCCTTACTTCCTGATCATGAGGTAAGCAGTTTTGCTTTGTCCTCACTCCCCTGCCATAATGTGCTACTTTGTCACAAGCCCAAAGCCACGGGGCCAACTGCTCACAGATTGAAACCTCCAAAGTTGTGAGACAAAAACAAGCCTTTCTTATAAGTTCATTATCTCAGGTATTTTGTTATAGTGACAGAAAGCTGATCAATGCAGTCAGCCAGTGATCAAAAGATGTTCAACTATACCATATAGACAGTTGTCATGTCTACAATGCAAACACTGAACGACTCCATTTTCATCTTACATATTGAACAAGACATAAGAATTTAAGTAATTTTAAAAAAACACAAGTAGAATATATATAGTATACATAGACATTTACATACACATATGTAACTCATTTAGAACACTTAGTAGACTTCAGAAATCTCTTCTCAGTGAGAGACATAACTATCCTGAGTGAAGTAGGTCTGTATCTAGTTAACAACTGCTAAAGGATGCACAGGCCCTTCTTACCTGTCTTCCTTGCATGCCAGTAGATGGTTGGCAATATGAGTGCTGAGACACTGTTAATGGCAAGTCTGAGGCAGTAACATTTTTATGAAACTGAAGACTAACCATAATGACTATTATGGAATTGCAGCACCTAGGAAGATGGTGGCCAATATTTTTTTAGGGAATACCCTGGGGCCATTCTTGGCACAGACCATCTTAAAACTTTTCCCCACCTTTCTAAGGGTAAAACTTTGCTGGGACTCATCAGCTCAATTCCAAACACTTAACACACCATAGAATGTTCTGCTTAATAGAAATTCAGTTCTCTTAGACCATTTCAAAATCTTTTGCCCTAGTCCTGAAGCAGGACATCTGACTAGTCTGAAAATTGGTTAACATATACATGTTAATGAAATTATTACTGACTATAGGAGATTTATTAAACTATAATTTAGTAAGATAATTCACATAAAGTAAGTCAATAAAAATTAACCATAGTTTCCAAAGATTCAGAAGCAATTCAGTCACATGTTACAGGTTAGTTAGTTTCAATATTATTTGTTAGTGATGAAATGCAGAAAGTCTGAAAATTATCTTTAAAGTAAAACATAAAGTAGGAATGACTTGAAGGAAGCCTATTCATTTTAAATTTCCATATTATGATTTTATGAAAATACACATGAATAAAATTATGTCTACTTATCTGCATTATATTATGCTACATAGAAAAAGATCTACTTGAACTAATAAAAATGTGCTAATATTTTGAATAGAAATGTACTACTTCTAAATACATGGAACAATTTACTTTTAACTAAATACTTTCAAATGAATAAATATAAGCTCATAAATTGTATTGCCAGAAGGATTGAAAATGGTTTGTTTTCTTAAATTAGTTAATATGGCCTTTAGGATTTGTTTACCCATTCATTTTCTTGGCTCTTATAGTTAATATTAACGTTAACTTTATTTCACTCTGAATTAAGTGATTCCAAAATTGGAATTCATAGAGTCATAACCAATGCCACATACTTTTTGGTATCCTAAGAAATTAAACTGGTCTTAAATTTGTTATTATTGCTGCCAATGAATGGACAGGAAATCTAAATCATTGGAAGAAGGTAGTTTAAAGAGATAGAAAATGGTGTAAGGGTTCAGATTAGGATATTGGCTTATAAAATACAGCTTAGACTCTAAATTCAATATTACATATCCAATATCAGAAAGACTAGTACAGAAATATTTTCTCTCATTCCTTCATTAGCTTTTGTAATAGTTGATATAAATTTCTAGCTTCAAATTCCTCATATTTTAAAATTATATCAAATTATATATTTTAAATTAATATTAGAAATATGTATAGACATTAGAGAATGCTTATGATGTATTGGCTATGAATTATTGACACTAATTTTTTTAGAGTGTTTTCATGTTCAGATCTAAAATTTCAATATAGGACCTGCAATTTAGATAGAGAGGAGCACATGTCCAAATTCAGAACTTGGATGAACAATAAGCAGGCTTCAGCAGCATTTGAAGGAACACTGGTTATAAAGGAGCTTGTAGCACTTAGGTAAACATATTCTGAAAACTAAAGGGCAGTTAAATGTACAAAGTCCAAAGTCCAAGGATGTAAATTAAGGTATTAAAATTTTGTCATCATTCATTGATACATTAGTTTTTTTACTGGTACCACTGTTTCAAAATTGTAGTCAAGTTTCATCTGATGTACTATTTCAGACTTTCAATACCTATCTGAAAGTGTTATCTCTAATTATGGGAAAATATGACAAAATATTTTCTAGGTTACAGCACATTTGGGTCCTTTCAAAATGTATACACATTATGGTAAAATTTTCAGGAAATCTTATAATTTTCATATATGAAAGGCATATTATATATTTCCATTTATTTTTATCAATACAAAATGTATAATTAAATGGCACTACATGCCTTGTAACTTCAACCTTAGTAAAATAATTGATTCTATTAAAATAGTGATATTATTAAAGATATTAAGGATAATGTATTAAGAAGGCAGAATTCTTGGATTTAAATTTTGGTTCTAGCACTTGTTAGTCACATGAATTTATTTAAGTCTTTGGGCCATTCTTTGGGGAAAATAAAAAAACACTATCTTACATCACTGTTATGAGGATGTATGAAACAGTAACAACAAACTATGGGTAAAACAATCAGAGGTATTATTTGGTACACAGTAGTCACTTATAAAATGTTAGTTACAATTTTTTATTAAAATAAAAAAGTACAGTGACTGATGTTAACATAAACTAGTACTAACTTTTAAACACTTAGTAAGTGCCATGTACACTGATAGGTGGTACATTTATGTATTACTCTAAAAATAATATGAAGCACATCCTATTATATGAAGAACAGATCCTTAAAATATATTTATTTATAAATACCACAATAGCAGATAATGTGCCCCATGAGATTATGGCAAAGTACAACTGAATTGTTCAGGTGACCCTTGCATGCCTCCTGCCAAGTGGTGATTAAAAAACAGTCATGACAATACGTAAAGTTAATCAGTTGTGTTCACTCATTAACCCTACATTGAATGTTACCAAATTATCAGTATACGGAAAATCACAATTTACATGAGCCTTCAGGATCACTTACTGATGATCTTAAGAATGTTCAATCCCAGAAAGCTAAACATATACTTAATATAGATATTTATGTAAAGGCTCTATCTTTATTAAACTGAAAATGTTCAACTTTTTCTTTGGAAACTCTAATGTTGGCTAACTTACTTGTCATTGTACATATGTGTTCAACACAAAAGATTCAAGTGCTTCTGTACCAATTAACATTTATTACTACTTGACCAGCAGTATATAAATAACTCATACATATGTAACGGAGCATTTTTATTATTTAATACACAACTGGTAGTGATGGTTTTTAGTAAGATTTTGAAAGCCATAATTAGATTTCCCAAATTATAACTTAATAATAGTTTGCCTAAGCTTTAGTTATAAAAAGTATTTAACATACTTCACTTCAAATCATATGCAGACATATTCTACATAGTGACATGGTCCACAGCAGACAACATATAAGAGTGGTCCCATAGTTTATATTATTGAATGATATTGTCTTACCTTGCATAAGTGGACTGTATGATGTTTGCACAAAACATTGCCTAATGACATATTTCTCAGAACTTAGTATCCCTGTGGATCCCCATGGTTAAGTAAAGCATGATTTTAATTATTATGGTCTTTTTATTCTTTTGAAAATTATTAATTTAAAATCAATATTAATGTATCCATAATGATAAAAACAATATTACATCAATATAAAATGATAAACATTACATGTATTTAGAATGAAGACAGAATATACCTTCAAAAATTATCAAGGTTTGTAATGGTCCTTTTAAAGTACAATAAATAAAGCTTTATTTTTCTTGTCTTATACATATACCTTGATTAAAAAATATTCATAATGGTATATTCTTTAAGAGTCTGAGATCTCATAGGAAGGGCTTCCTAAAATTAAGAATTTAGGTATCTTTCTATGTTAAAGGCTGAGTTTTATACAGACTTATTTTTTTCACTCACTCTGCTTCCTTTTATCTTTCCACTTCCTGCCACTTCCTACCTATGGTCACCAATGGTATATCACCCAGGGGAACCATGCCCATTGCAGAGTCCAGGGACAGAGCCAACTCACTGGGTCTGTCCATGGACATAAGTACACTAAAAAGCAGCAGAAAAAATCTTGCTGGAGGTCTCCATATCTCTTCTTCTCTCCTGCAAAGCAGAAGTGAACCGTGGTTCTCCACCTCCATGAACATGCCTTTCTCTGGGGTAATCAGGGGACAAAACACCCACTGTATCACCCAGTCTATGCCGTCCTTACTATTTTTGCATTATGATTTGTAGAGTGTGGCCGTCTTTCCTCAGTGACTGTCTTTGTCTTCAATTAAAACTATGCATTAGTAAAATGAGTCCATTTGGGGAAGTTGAAATCAAACACAATAAAATTACTGAATGAAAAGAGGATGCATATCAATTCCAGAGATGAATTTTGGCCTATAAATGAATATTTAATGTCAGTATACAGAAAGATCAGTTTTTTGGGGTGTATGTGTGAACTGTTTGAATAAACATTTCCAGCATACATATCCCAGTACAAACTGTTAGTCATTTACATCATGAAGGAGAAAATGCATTACTTCATCTTCACTGGGAAATGATAAACCAGCATGTACTTTGTCTAGGCAGTGTGAGGAAGCATCTGCTTGCCTGGTTCCTTGGTAATGCTCTTCATTCTTCTCCAACTGGGGGAGGTGGCTCGCAGAGCTTGTACAGTCTAGAAAAGACACAGGAAAGTTTGACAGCTATGCAGATGTCTGCCCTTACCTGATATGTTTTTATTGGCAAAACAATTACATTGAGCATAATTTCTTGGTTCCATAAGTCATTAGGACATTGTTTATTTCACTAAAAATAGTATATGAATTAGCAAACTCTAATATTTTGGTCCTCTAATTTGGAAAACATCCCGTTCTTTATATCTCTGGATGCTGACTGATTAAATAACTATTTTAAAAATCCGCTGTTCCACTCCAGTGCAACCCAAACTGTTCACTTTGCTGGTAGTAAAATCTATTCTCTAAATTCTCCCCTTTTTTTGGTGCTTAGGATTGAACCCAGTACAGGCAAGCAAGCCAAATGCTCTACCACTGAGCCACAGCCTTACAAATCTTTTTAAAGAAGCAATCAAAATCCAGAGCTAGCTGTGGTGACTCACTCTTTTACAGATTAAATTGGACACAGCTTAAATGAGTTGTTAACCAATTTAAAGAATTATAAACTTCCTTTCCTTTTGACATTTAATCCCATGCTAATTCTAAATCAATGAGGGAAGAATGAGAAAGATTTAATACTGAGTTGTAAATCTGGTTAACAAAATGAACTTTCTTTGTCTGGAAACAGAAGTTATTACCACTGAAGGCTTGCAAAATGTACTTCAAGTTTGGGACATAGTTTATGTTCTATATGTTATCTCCATGGAAGAGGTGAATGCTGAACCAAGGACATGTCACATCAAAAAAGCTTATTTCGCAGAGAAAAGAATATATTAAATTGAGCTGATGCACTTGAAAGGTATTTTTGCAGGTGAAAGATGTGGTGCTGCTTCAAGTTGCATTCTTGGGGCTGGAATAATAGAATGATAAGGGTTTTTTTTGTTTCCTTAATTTTATCCTCTTCTTTCGCTGACAGTGCTGCCTAATGCGTGAAATGGCACAATGGCCTTAGTCAGAACAGCAATGAGAAAGTGAGTGGCGAACGTCTGAGGAGTGAGCTCTGGGCTGAGTCATCACATGCTATTACCTTGCTTTGCACGTTCCACAGAATGTAACTAATGCCACCAGGTAGCTGAGACTTTGAAATTCATTCCTGGCAAACTGGAGCAAAGACTACTCCCTGTGATTACCTAATGCAATAATAGCTCTGGGTACTGCAGAGCTGGGCAGCTTCAGCTTCTGTGAGGCTTCTTGGAAGCAACTCAGGGTTATGAGAGTTCAAACACATTTGTAATGGAAATTGTGGAGCTTTGGGAATTTAGAACAAGCAGATGAAGGTGGGAAGTAAAATGGAACAGGTAAAGAGTTGGACTCTGACTCTGCACTGAGGCGTTTGTATTTTGGAAGCTAAACTGGTGGGCAGTGGGAGGCCTTTGCCCAACATTTGGGGCCAGGTACTCATGCACGTGAGGGATTCCGCACATACAAGGTTTATTCTTGGCTTCACTTTCTCTTATTCCTGTTTGGGCTCAGGCAGCCATTGTGGAGCTGGTATTTTAGCTCAGATTCAAATCTGCAGAGAACAGATCTTTCAAATTCATACTACAGACCATGTCCTTTATCTTCTATGTGACAAAAATACAAGATGTGTTAAAAGAGCCCACAAAGCAAATGTCTCTTTGAAGGTTGAAGTATCAATGATATCTTGTCTCGAAGCAATTCTCCCATCTTGCAGATGAAAAAATTGAGTCTCAGAGAGGAAAAAAAATACACCTGACTGAATAAGGTCCCATAGAGGGTTCAAGCTGGGACTTAAAACCAGTTTTTTTCCCCACTTTTAACCACTGTAGTATACTGCTTCCCAATTAAACAAAGAAAACCAGGCTTTAAAAGCATAATACAAAAAAAAGCATAATAGTTGCAAATTTTTTGACATAACAGAAAATAATAGAAAATAAGGCCAGTGTGCCACACTAGTAATTCAATATCTCAAATGTAACATTTCAGTCCTTGATTAAGATTTGGTTCGGATCTCTGCAGAGCCAACACATATGTGGAAGTCAGAAGAAAGGAAGGACTGGTTTCTGCCCCTGGCTCCTGCCGTTCTGTCACAGCACACATTTACCTGATGTCCCAGATTAGTTCTGCCCCTCTATTAGGTGGAAGATCCGTGAACATATGAAGTGAGTCTCATCCATCTTGAGAGCCCAATGCCAAAAGCAGTTCCTGACACATACTGTGGAAACCAATTGCTAAAGTGGACTCTTCAAACTGTGACAGCGTCAAGGATACCCAGGAAACTCACTACCTAGAACCAACCTACCTCAGAATTATTAAACTCCAATATTCTGTTCTACAGCACTCTGATTCCCTAAGTTATGTTCACTCTTTCTGTGGTATAAATACGCCACTTCCTCCTTTTTGAATTCCAGAAAAACTATCTCCTCCTTTCCTTCATTTTCTCCAGTACATCGTATATTCTATCAATCCATTCCTCTGCTTTCTCCTCACTGTTGGTGGTTCCCTGGTGGTATTCCCAACCTTTTCTCATCTCTGTTGCCCATTCACTACAGTAACAAAATTCATTTCTAGGTCTTTACTGAGCTCCTAAACATGCGTTATAGGACCATAGCTCCACCTATACTTCCTCAACTTTTGACCAGGGTATTGAACTGCCCAAAAAGGCATCTCCACACAGCTGTCTTCTCAATCAGTCCTCAACCTTAATCCAAAACAAACTCATCAGCTCTTCCCAATGCACTCTTTCCCTCTGCATCCACTATCTCAGGGGCAAGAATCATTAATCCCTTGTTATTTAAGCCAAAAATTCTGCAGGAATCTACAACATTCCTTTTCCTCAACTATTTTCATTTAATTAGTGTCCAAAGACTATCAATTCTGTCTTCTAAGTATCTCCCTAATGTACCTTCTCATTCTGATTCTCAATACTATCATAACCTCCTTTCAAGTCTCTTTCTTCAATTTTAATTGTCCTCAAATGGACTCTCTTCATGTTGCTGAAGGTAAATTCTAAAATTTAAGTATTCCAGAGAGGGAGATTAATGATGTGTCCTTATTGTCTTTAGGTTAAAATGAAAACTCTCAAGGTCTCCTATAAATCTCTTCCTGACCTAGTTCCTGTCTACACTTTTAGCTTCACTTTACCTTGCCCTTAAATCACATTCAACCCCCAGTCATAGAAACTGAATTCTCAGAATGTGACGTGTTCTTTGGGCCCTTGTGCCAATGTATCTGTGGTCTGGGGCACAATTACCATGCTGACTGGGTCACAAGTATTCAGTGACCTCCCTTCTCCATCCCTAGGTTGTGTTACGGCCCCTTTCTGTGTACTCATGACAATTTGTGCTTATTTCTAGACCTCCATAAGTGTAACTTCCAGAAACATTAGTTACATCAGCTTTACCCATCAATGTCCTGTTCTTGAGAGCCAAATGTGACCTTCAACATCTGTCTTTGAGGCAGGAATGGTGGCTGTGCTCCTTCGTGGTCCTTGGCATTATATCTACAGCTTCCACAGACTGCATCTGACACTCTTTCTTGCAGTGGTGTTTCCCTCATCTCACTTCTTTAACTGAAAGCTCCTTGAGGGTCAGAGCTACTTCTGTTGCAGATTTATATTCTCTCTGGGGCACAGCAGCAGAGTGCATGCATTTCTTAGGTCCTCCATAAATATTTATAGAATGACGAAAAGAGTAAATAAAATAAAAATTGAAATTTCTCTTGATTTCTATCTTGGAGTTATTATTCTCTTGTACAAGTGTCAACTTTATAGCTGGTTCATTTTATTGTCTTTCATTTCAAGTACTTTAAACATAACCCAATAAAGAAAAAGTGAACTCATCAGTTTCCTTTCCTTGTGTTCAGATTGCATATTGGTTTATTGATCAGGATGCTGAAGTCTTATTCTAACCCACCGTTTATTAGTGTTTATAAGCTCTAGCTAAAAACGCCTTGCTGGACCATTATCTTGTTTTCTTATTGGAATTTTAACACTTCAGTGGGTCTGTTATGCAAATATACCATGTTTGCTCAAGGCACTGGGAAGAGAATGCTTATGAGAAATTATTCTTTTTTTTTTTTTTTTTTGGTATCAGGGATTGAACTCGGGTTCTTGCGCTCCTGAGGTAGGCAGTGGAACCACTGAGCTAAATCCCCAGCTGTCAGTTGGAAATTATTCTTTAGTTTCTATTGCTAATCAGCTATGAAAGATAACATTAGCAAGACTGGAAGATTAAACAGAGTTAGGAGTGAACACTAAAAATAAATGCAGCTAGAACATGAGTGTTCCATCCATTTTCAGAGGGAAAATATGTTTTCCCTTTTGAAAGCATTTTCACTTCCCACATAGTTTTTCAGAATGAAATATAACTTCATAAATGCTACAGTCATCATCTCACCCTGGTAATGGTGTTGTAAATAGAAACAAATACAGAGTGTTTTGTCTGTAACAGTGCTTGGAAAAGCCTGCTTTTGGTTCAAATGAAAGTGCATAAAAGCAATCAAATGCAACAGAAATTATTTAGCTTTGACTCACTTTAAGATAGATGGCTGCCTACCTTAATTACCATGGAAATCAAACTGGAAACATTTCTCTATGCCTGTGAACTATACCCATTTATCTTAAAGGTAGATCAGAGTCCTTTCTTTCTTATGATGATATGTATGAACTGTGAATGTTTGGCATATCAAACATAGAGCTGGAGCTTGGAAACAGCCTAAGTGCCCATTGACTGGAAACTGGATAAAGAAGATGTGCTTTTTTAATAAAATGGAGTACTACTCAGCCATAAAGAATGAGAAACTAGAGACATTTATAGCTAAGTGGATGCATATTTAGGCCATACTCTTAAGTGAAATAAATAGGACACACATGGGTAAATACCGAATAGTTTCTCTAGTGTGAGAAACTGAAAGTGTAAACAAGGGCTAAAATGATTAAAAAGAATAATTGATAATTTGAAATAGGAAAAGGTCCAAAGGTGTAGGGGTGGTCGGAGGGGAAGTTGAAAGGAAAGAAGGGAAAGGAAAATTTATGAGAAAATAAAAAAAATAGAAACAAAATCTATGTAAATAGGGAAGGGTGGAGGGGGTGAAGGACGCACAGGTAATGGGGAAAAAATAAGAACCAAGATATATCATGTACAGGCACAAGCACCCAATGATAAATATAAATGTATTCTATACCTAAAATGTACCAATAAAAGAATTTAAGGACAAACAAAATAAAACATAAAGCTGAGCCAGGGATTTAGTTCAGTGGTTCTGCCACCTTCTGCCTGCCTCACAAATGCAAAGATCCAAATTTGATCCCAGATACCAAAAAAAAACAAAAACAAAAACAAAAACCATAAATGTGATTGATTTATTAATACACACATTCTTGAAATCAGTTTAGATTTTTGATGTCTACTATGTAGGCACTATGATGAAGGCAATAAATAAAATACAAAAATACAACCTCTGCCTCCTGAGTATTCATACTCAGGTTGGGCAAAGACATGTTAAGAAATAGTGCAACACAATATAGTTAGGGCTATTATAAAGCAACATACAAGATGCTAAAAGGAACCCAGAAAGGAATAAACTCAAACAAGATTCCAGGCAGAAAATGATACATGAGCTGGGCTTTGTGTATTAAGTAGTTTCCCATAAGTGGACACAGATGGGAGAGGAAATCATAGCAGTGAAAGAACATGTGTAAATATAGAAGGATAAATGGAAATGGTGTTTTGGCAGTCTCATAGTTAGATTCAAAGTTTAGTTGTATCTATGTGGACTTCTGCTTTTGAATTCATGATGGAATTGTAAAATAGAATAATGCCCAGTGAAGTGTGAGAGCATGACTGCTTAATCACCCTTAGCCACTGGGTGTCTAAAAGGTGCTCCCCATGATTACCATCAGTATGACCCAGGGCATTTCCTAGAACAGGTGCATTATCTTCTAGTGACAAGGCCTGGAGGATGCTGCTCCGCCCTATGGGAAAGAGTAGACCTGAGGATGCACTTACCTTGGAGCTGACTGAGGGGTCCGGTCTCTGACTCCCAAATTCTTGGCTGTGTTCTGAACTCTTGCTCCCTAAAGGCCAGGAAAATCATTTTTAACTCTCCATTGTGCTATTTAACACACTATTAAAATCTGAGTGTCGAACACTTATTCCAACAATATATTTAACATAATAAGAGACTGGATGGAGAAATAAGAGAGAAATCACTATCTGAACACTTTCAAAATCCAAGCTTTTAAGAATCAAAATATACTTTGCTGTTTCAAATGATTAACATTTATTTCTGTAGTCATGTACATCATTGAAAATAAGGTAAGAGCTTCCTGTTCACTACCTCATCTAGTCTGTGTTTATCCTCAGAAGCAATTAATAACTTAGAATACTGAAAACAGGAAAGAGCAAACCATAAATACCTGGTCTGTGTCGCCACTTGCATGTGACAGAAATCAAAGTTCTATCATACTCATGGACCTGTTCTTCCTGGTTGAATAGATATTTTAAACTTACTATATTTAGCAAGAAAATATTTTCTCAAATAGTTCCACAGTAATTTCTGGATCAGTCATGTCCATATGGATTTCTGAAACTTAAAAATTTTGTCTCAAAGTTTACAGTAAAAAGATAATCTTCTTTATGAAAAAGTCTCTATAATCTTCCAAGTTCATGAATGAAATTATAATTATTTTTAAGTTGTTAATGAAAATTAGTTACTACAAAGAACCAAAAACCAGGTTTTGTGAATTAGAATAGGTGAAGGAGGGTTGCTCAAACAACTCTGAAATGCTTCCAGCTTCCAAATACTGAAACAAGTAAAGGGAAGAGAAAATAGGAGAAAATGAAGAAAAATCAAAGAATATATTCTCTCAGGATGGATCTAATAAACCAATTAGAGAAAGGGGACATAGCAAAAAGATAGGAAGGGATTTAGGAACTGCAATATGTATTTGAAACAATTTGAGACTTGGAGGAAAGTTGCAAAAACAGAGCAGGGATTGTACATACTTATTTCAGCTTCCCCTAATATTAACCTTTCATTTAACCATAGCACAAAGATCAAAACCAGGAGTTAACATCGATATAATATTCTTAACTACACTACACATCTTATTCAAATTCCACCATTTCCTCACTAATTCTCCTTTTCAATTCCAGGGCCTGATACAAAATCCTGCATTGCATATTGTTTTCATGAATTTTTATTCTCAGCAACTCCTTGTCTTTTGTAACTTTGACACTTTTGAGGAGTACTGGCCATTATTTTGTAGAATGTCACAATTTGGATTAATGTGATGGTTTTTCACAAGAAATACATTTATGATTTTAAAAAAATCACAGAAGTGATGTTGTGCTCCCTCTACCTATGCATCTTATAAGGGGGTACATGATATCAACATGTCTTATCATGGGCTACATTAACTTTGATCACTTAGCTAAGTGGTGCCTGCCAGATTTTTCCACTGTAAAGTTATCACCCTTCCTTTTAGACTTAACAAAGATGTTGGGCAAGATACTACCATGAGACTATGTGAATATCCTGTTTCTCTTTGATCATTCACTTACTATTTGAGCCTACATTGGTGTATCTGGTCTGCACTAATAATACTTCTGTGTTTATGAACTAGAATTCTTCTATAAAGTAAATAAAAATTATTTAGTTATTCAACCATTTATTTAACTCAGAACAGACTCACAGATATTAATTTTATTCTATGAGATATAATCCAACAATTTTATGGCTCAAATTGTTTTAAATGTGTCCACTGGGAGATCTTTCTCGTTGCTTCCTGTTCCTTTTGGTATGAGCTCATCCGTTTTGCTGCTTCCTTACTTTCAGGCATTTCAAGACTCATCTACCCTGTCTCAGCTGGTAACTCATCACTTCTCCAAGGCCTCTTTTTATTGGAGAATGATATTTAGAAGCCAAGATTTTTATACCACCTGTATTCATTATTATTGGCAATTTACTGCTTCTAGGCCTTTCTAGTAGACAGGGAAGTTTACTAATGCAAATATACACATCTAGATTCACTTCTACATTTATTTTGTGTTTGTATGTGTATTCATCAGTTCATACTGATACCAATAATTCCAGTCCATAAATTCTAGCCTTCTCCCTTTCCTTATTTGTAAACTCTTTCTTTGTCTGCATTCCTTCCGTCTTTTTCTTTTCTTCCTTCCTTCCTTCCTTCCTTCTCTCTCTCCTTTCTTTCTTTCCTTCTTTCTTTCTCTTTCTTTCTTTCTCTTTCTTTCTTTCTTTCTCTTTTTCTTTCTTTCTTCAATTATGCTGTACACATATATTTGTTTTAGAATTTCTAAGTCATGCCCATTGTGAAAAATAGATTTATTAACTAGAATAACATATTCATGTATAATTCTTTGTCTATAATCTTACAATATTCCATTATGGAAGCAATAGAAAGATTTTTGCTTTCTTAAAATCTGACGTCATGTTGAACACATCTATTGGCACATTTTACTTTGAATTTATCTATATAATTTTTCATATACTAAGTATGCCAGTTATTTGTATTTTTACATCCTTGTTCATGTTGCTCTCTCTACCTAAACACCATTCTGTCTCCTTCCCTCTCTGGCTTCAATATGTTCATTATCAAAGGCTCACAAAAAATCATCTTAGTTTTCTAATAACTGGTCACTCACTATATCAGTTTTAAGTGCACTAAGTATATTGAATTATTTAATCCAAACAACACTAGAAGGCAAGTACAATTTAAACTCTTACCTGTTATAATAATGAGAAAACTGAGGAACAGAAAAGCTCAAAATCTTGTTGCAAACTATATGAGTAATAAGCACTGAAGTAGTAAGCACCCAGGACTCAAACTGAGGCTGCTTGGCTCAAGACACTGTGCTCTTGGCTCTTACCAAATACCCACTTTGTGCACATCTTTTCCTAGTTATCCTACTTAAAACTACTTTATTAAACAAATATCATTGAGCATTTACATTGTACTAGGTACTATCCTTGGAAATTGTGACAGCAAAATGAGTAAGACTCAGTGTCCCAGCCATTGAGGGGTTCACAGTCTACTTATTTGCTCCCTGTTCTATGTCCCGATACACTGAGGTTGTACATATCTTAGAGCACTTGCTCACTGGCGACTGTATCATGGCAATTTCCCTACATATGTGTGTGCATCATGAGACTAAGTCTGGACCTCATTGTTCCCATGTTTTCGTTCTTAGTGAATAGTGTGATGCCTTGATAATGAAAGTAAGGGGTCAGAACACTTTGGAAGCCTAGTTTTTGTAACAAAAGTTAAGAAGAAAGTTTTGAGTAGGCTTCCACCAAAGATCACTTGGAATATAATATGTATAATATGGAAAGCTATGTTTATTATGCCAATGACAGTTTCTACCTCAAGCCTTTTATTTGATCAGCTGGTTATGTAAAAGTGCTGGTTATGATTATTATAATCATTATCAAAAGAATTCAAGGGAACAGTATAGTTTTATCTTGCCTTCAAACTTAAGCCCTGAGTAAAAAGGCCATGTGTATGAAAAGTACACAAAATCTGCACATGAAAGCCATACCAAAATTATAAACAAGAACAACAAATGATGCCAAAATGTTCTTTTTAAAAAAGAAACTAAAGTTCTTCATTACATTATTTATTAATAATATTCATTATACATTATGAGCTTCACTATATAGCAAATAAATTATTGTAATTTAATATATAATAATTCAAATTCAATAATGAAATAATTCAAATATATCAACACATGGTAAATGTGACAAATATTCTAATCACGCAGTCTCTGAAAAGCGGAATGTAAACAGCTAAATAATTTTCCTGAGGTTGAAAGGCAAAGGAAACATAGAACCCAAGTGAGGTACTTGATTCAGACTTGTATTCTAACTGCTCAGATCCTAAGTGAGTAAGAGCTGGCTGGCTTGGGGACTAGATCCCAACTGGTACTCTTTTTTTTTTTTGCCGGGGATCGAACTCTGGTCCTTGCGCTTGCACAGCAGGCAGTGAAACCACTGAGCTAAATCCCCTGTCCCTCAGCTGGTACTCTTACTGCTACTGCTGAATCCTGGGAAGAAGACTGGTAACAGAAAGACTATGCTCTTTCATGAAATATCTGCCGTGTATCAGTCTGCTCAGTCTTCCTGGAAGAGGGCCCCACATGCTATGATCTTTCACAAAGAAGCTATAAATCAGTTCACTGCTTACCACAGCCATTTGGGATGCACAACTTGGACCCAAGGAACTGGCAACAAAGGAAGAAATTGCCTATTCTGATGTATTTAGTTTTAGAAAATAGAGGAAAGAAAGTGATAAATACTATAGTTTAGTTATCAGCAAGGTTTTTACAAGAAACTACATGAATTTTCAGTCCTTCAAGTTATTGTAGCCAAATTATAGCCTCCTTAATGGAATAGTCTAAAGAAAAGTCAATTCAAGGCTGTTTTTCTTGCTACCAGCCGTAATTTTTAGATGGTTCTTCCAAAGCCTTCTTGCAAACTTACTCTAAGAGCCCCACAGTAAAACAGGAAAGTGCTTAATCTCTTATTGTATGTCTCAGCAACTGACATCCCAAATCTGACGTAAATAGCTGTAAGTTTAGTTTGACTTATTTTCAAGGCAGAATTTATACATCCACCTTAAACCCTTGGCAATTTGCAAATGTCTTTGTCCTTTGCCAACTGAAGGACAGTATGGCACACGCTTCTAGTAGATTTAACGTTTACTTAGCAAATTCTTCTTTCCTCTTGGCTGTTCATCTTCAGCTCCCAAGTTCCTTACCAGAAGCACCCATGCATTTCCACTCCCTGTGCCCATCTCTTCATTGTAGATTCTGGCTTGATGGTGGCCTTTTTAACGGATATATTTTTTCCACCAGCTTGGTCCACACTGCATTGTGTAATCTTATGAGCAAGCCCAAGGGGATTTATGATTGTCTGAGAGGTATATGCTGTACTAAATAAAGTAGCCATAATTATAAAAGCATGTGTTAAAAATTAAATCACTATTACTGGACAAGTCAAAACAAGTCAGCAAATAGATTGCTGCTGTGGTAGCTCAAAGAAAAGGTGATGGAATAAAATTGATATTTTTCAATTTTGTGTCATTTTATTCATTATCTTTTTTACTAAATCAAACCCATTTACTAAATTGAAAGTTTGTGATTTTTTGGTTTTTAAAAAGCATTCTAGGGGCTAAAACCTAAGCTACTCCACTTAAAATGCTACTGGGTTAGAGTATAGAAAGTTCATTCTACTTTTGAGAGTACATTCTCATCTAGAAGTGTTCCAGTAGCCTAAAGATAGTCCAGAGCCTGCTATTCATCCTCCATAAAAACTTGAGATCAGTGCTTTATCCTCAGAATAATGCACACACTTAGCATGGGACAGGGGAGACTGCCAGAGGCAAGCAAGCCCTTCAATTCATTCTTCTTCTTCCTTGCCACTGTCCCTCTCCCAATCTATTTCTAGAAACTTACTAAATCACTTACATTTCCCAGAAAATACCATATGTCCAGGGTCCTTTATATATGCTCCTGCCTGCCAATCCACTCTTGTCCCATTTTGCCTGCTAATCCCCTTTCTCTTTCAGGTTATTGCATAGACATATTTTTTCAGGGTTATACAAGATCCTTGGAGAATCCTCCTCTAAGTGTCCACCTGTGTTATCATTAGGAGTTTCTCTTTCATGACTTGCTTGGCTGTTACGTGCCTGGAGAAGGGCCCATCACTTTTAGGGACCTGTCAGGCACCTGATAAATAAACAAAAGAAAGATTAATGGGTCTGTAAAGCAACTACCCTAAACTATACAAGAAGAGACTTACCTGCTTCCTCATGACATCTGTGGCCTGCATAATGTAGCGAGGAGGCAGCCCGTGGCTTCTGGCTAGAATGATGGTCTGCTCCAGCGTCACACTCAGGGTGCATCTGTGTACCGAGGCAAAGGCAAGTCAGATCCCACTGGTTTGCAGTAATGTCCTGTGAGACTGTTTGGGTTACTCATTTCAAAGTCGGAAATCAGCCAAATCAAACTGGCTGGACAGTGAGCCACTGATTTTTCTATATAGAACAGTTGTATAAGGTTATAGGAGAACATTACTGAAGCTATAAGCTAAGAATTTAAACTTAAGACTAACCTATAATAAGCTAGAGATTCTCCATAGAAAAGAGATTCTCCATAGAAAATTAAATAACTGGAATCACAATAAATTTTAAAAATATTATTTATTGATATTTCATATAGTTTAGATCACAACATCATTTCTACACATAGTTAATAGATTATTTATACACATACATCTCAGAAAACTAAACAATGAAATTACTGTTCACAAAGGTGAGATTTGATTTTAAAAATGTGTTTCTTGGATCCAATCTAAGAAATCTCTCTATAAAAGTTTCAAAAAAAACCCCCAAAACCTTGTCATTAGTTCTAAGGCAGTGTTGTCATGGTTCGGATCTGGAATGTCTCTCCTCAAAGCCTCATGTGCTCAGAGCTGAGGTGTTTGGATGGTGACTGGGTCTTGGGGCACTATACCTGTATGGGGATTAATCTGCTGATGAATCTATAGTGGCGTGTGCTGTTAGGAGGTGGGGTCTGGTTGGAAGACCTGAGTCATGGGGTGGGACCGTGGAGGGTGTGTTTGCTTCCCTGGCTCCTCCTTTTGTGCTCTGCTTCCTGGCTGCCATGACGTGAGCATCTTTCCTCAGCCAGTTCCTTCCACCCATATCCTTTCTGCCTTGGAGCCAGCCATCCATGGACTGAAAATGTGGGCTGAAGTTAGGCTCTCCTCCTTTAAGGTGTGGTCAGGTGTTTTGTCCCAGCATGAGAAAGTGGCTAAGACAAATGTGGTGCCTGGAGCAACCCTGAAAAGTGTGTTCTAACCAGCAGTAAGAGACTGGTGAGTCTTTACTCTTTTTTCTTCCCTCTAGGCATTTCTTTTCTGTTCTGCCACATTTTGTCCTCTGTGTTTAGTTATAATATTTTTAGGCACTGGTCTCTGAATGGGATTGTTTGGAGGTAGCTTTTGGACATATTTCCTAAAAAATGCCCATTAATTTTAAAAGTTTTTCTGAAAATTTCTATTGTTTTGTTATACTTCCTTGTTTGACTTATTGTAGTTTGATAAGTCTTTTCTCTATTTCAGCACTGACCTCCCTGTGGTTTGGTACTCTTCTCATGTATTTTTCTAGATCTACCCAGTATTTTCTCCTAGAAATAACAAAAAACACTATCATTACTTCTAGGCAAAGAATATCTAACTCATTATCCACAGTTTATGAGGCTGTAACATAGAAGTCTAATAATTTGGTAGACTGTGGTGAATTAAGAAAAAAAAGGAGAAAGGAATTTAAAACATTACAGTTGTAATAGTAGAAAGAACCTGACAAGGTAGAACTATGTTACAGTACATATTATATATACCTAAAGAGAAACATGTTAAATGACTTCAAAAGCAGCTTCCTCATTATCATTACCATTGCAGAGAATTCTTTTGAAAGCTTTAATAACAGATGTTTAGATGAACTAAAGTTTTATAATTCATTTTAGATTGTACATGATGTTTACAAATATTTCATGTACGAGTCTAGTAACAATGCATATTGTTTCAGGCTTACATGCATGCTGCACAAGAGTCTATGGCAACTGAAGGCCAAGTAGTATAACTGACAGTTCATATATAAAAAGTCAATTTTCTACAAAGCATTTAATTGCTTGCCTACTCAAAAGACCATAACCTTTTTCCTCCGTAAGGTCTCCTCTACTCCAATTTTAAATCTTTATTGATCTTATTTTAATCAATAATGCTTATTATACCAGTTGAATGAAGCTAAGAAAAATTTTTTTTTATTTTATGCTAACCATGCCAGAATATGCCTGTGCTTTCCTAATAAAGCATGACATGCTCTACTCTACTTATAACAAACACACACTCAGAGGATTTTTTTTTTTACAGGCAGCCTATAATTTTTATTCATTTTCTTAATCCTTTTAAACTGATTTATTCTCCCTTTGTTCCAGTTTTAGTAAACAGCAGCACAGCAGCAAATTATCTGCCAGAGACTTTAAAAGATTTTATAGCAATTGGGAAATCATAGAGCCAGTAACGTGCACACTCACACAGTATCTCAAAATGTCACCTCTTTAGAATCAATCACACATGATTTAGCAGCAAACTCTTCCTGCAAACAGATACATGTTTTTTCTCTTACCAGCATATCCAAAAAGGTTGACTGTACATATATTTACCTTTTCATAATAACTGCTGTATATAATCTAATTAGATTCCAACACTGATTTAAAATTTTTTAAAAAGGACAAATTTTGAACAAGAAAATCACGGTTGATGGATTTAATGGAGGCTTAGTATTTCCATGGATGGCATCACAGAATTCTACCATCCTCAACTAAGCATGTGGAAGACAGTCTAGCGGTGAGTCCACAATTTTGCTGTCAACGTACCATCATTTGCCTTGTAACTTTTAGCTTCTCTCAGCGATCTCGATCTCAATGCCAAGTGGAATAATTTAGCATTTGCAGGAAGCACTTTGATATCTGGCATTGGTTAAGTCTTCAGGTCCAGCAAGTGGCACATGGTTTTTCAACAGCACATAAATGTATGCTCAGAGTCAGGTTTTACAAGAGGTCATTTGATTTCATAGGTACTTTGGCTTACCAGAGTGACTGATTTCCTAACCTCAGGGGAGGGAAAGGAGCATTCCCATGATCAGGAACTCTAAGTAACTCCTATCCAAAATGAGGTTTCCCGCTTCATCACCCAATCTCTCTTCAACAATATCTCTGTGTTCTAGAATGGACACTTAAATTAAAATTTAAATAAATTTATATTTTCACTCTATCTGGAAAATATGGGCCTTCAAAATTTTCAGCTCCTTCTAGCTGTTATATTATTAATTAATTATTTATTTATTTATTTATTTTATTTATTTATTGGTACCGGGGATCGAACTCAGGTCCTTCTGCTTGTGCAGCAGGCGGCGAAACCACTGAGCTAAATCCCTGGCCCTCATTAATTATTTTTAGACAACTCCCCTAGAAGTCATAAAAATAATAAATGTCATAGAGTAGTATTTGTCTTTCATAAAAAGGCAAATATATTCAATATATTCCATAATTTCAGTAATGAGACATTCCAAATACTGACTCAATACTTGGGAGGAAATGGACTCAATGGAGTGGTACAATTACAAAGAACTGTTAAATTCCCCCCTGAAAGCCAACAGAAAGAGTCAATATATTTGTACTTATGATTAATAAATCTCCTTGACACATTTTGTGTTGAGCACAGATAACTCACTCAGGTAATTAGCACATATTTAATATGATAAATATAACCTATAGTTCATGGTTCTGATTTAATTTGAAAGATACTTTTAGCAATTCTATGGAAGAAACACAAAAAAGTATTTTTCCACTCATTCATTCAATTAGTCAACAAATATTTTTTGGATGTTTATTTTGTACCTACAAATACCATTCAGGGCTAGCAGAGTGGATTCATTGCCAAGCCGAGAAAGTTTGAGTTTCAGGGTCCCTTACTTATACAGACCTTTTTCAAGGTTCTGGGAGAGGCCTTAGCAGCGTGTTCACACACTGGCATGCGTTTACAAATCTGCCAAAGTAAAATGTCTTAACTGAAAAAGGTCATAGCTGTCTTCTTTACATCCCAGCTCCTTCTGCCATGATGGGTAGTGTAGCTGTTTCTGGAGCTAAGCTAAAGGAAGTTGAGTTGGACACATTCAGGATAGGTTTGCTGAGACCTACTTACACGATATACAGTTATTACCACTTATAGTTAGGTTATCGTGGTGTCTGGTGCAGGAACGGCATCTAGAATGTTCCTACTGCCCACTGCACAGTCATTCCATGTTGTAAAGGAGAGGCATGGCCAGAAGTTGAGGTGCAATATGCCCACATCCTGGGGTTTCCAGGCCTGTAGGTGTGTGTGGTGAAGAAGAAACACATTTGAAATGCATAAAGCAAAAGTTTCTGTGGAGAATAATCTTCTAAACATTATGGTTCATATGTTAAAAAATCTCACAGGCGTTTTTTTGTATTTGAGAATAATTTAAAAACGCACAAGTCATTAACAATAATGCATTTTGATGTTCAAAGGCTTTTATGAACTTCAGTAATTTAAATTTGATCAGTCATGCTAGAGAAAAGAGAATAACTTTCTTATTTGCTTTCCAGAAAGTGATATTACCAAATTATTATACTTTGAAGAGGCAATCAAAAGCAATGTTACTAAAAATGGGAGGGGATAGTCAGGCAATAATAAAATAGTTTTATAGATTTTGTAATGCTTGTCATTATTATTAGCATTGTAAACCTTACAATTAATTTTTTTCTGGCATTCTGGATAAATATTAACTTTAATTTCTATTTTTTTTGTGATTTGCTATTCCTTTTTTTTTTTTAAAGAGGGCAATGAATTTCTGATTCCAGTCTCCACTTTTCCACTGATGTGCAGGTGTACCAGTGAACAAAGCTAGCTCCTACTCCTTTTGATTATCAAATTTTAGTGAGAAGAAAAAAAATAAAGAAGAAAATACAGAGTATGACACGAGGATAAATTATTTAGAAAAGCTAATTTCCTATCAATATAACATGGACAAGTACTAATAGGGGATGGAATGCAGACGCTGGTGCTGTTTTTAGGAAAACTATTTCAGGAAGATTAAGTTCAAAGAGCCTGAGGTTAATATTTGTTTGGTTTGCTCCCAAACAAATATGGAGCTCAATACACTGATGCACATGATGCACAGAAAGAAGGTAATGAGTTAGGGAAGTAGCCTAAGGCAAAACATGTGGGGCTTTGGGGGTCAGCATTTAGTATTAGGAAGTCTTCTTATTTATTTCTTTAGCTGACACAAAAAGAATATCAATCCTTATATTACATGATATAAAAGAGCAACTTGTTTAGCAAATTATCAAAGGTTGATACTTAGTATCAAACCTTAACATCTTACCAATACTATAGTCAAAGCACTTTCAGTTGCATTCCAATGGCAACATTTGCAAAAAGAAGCTATTCATCCCGATGCTTAAGGTACCATCTTCCACCATCTCTCCTGTGTACTTTATTTTCTCCACTCAATCTAGAACTTCTTTTTGTTTGTGGCCAGTGTGTTGATACCATGACAAAAAAAAAAAAAAAAAAAACCTGTCCCTAATCTGGAATGCTGGTCCAATTTTATCAGTCTTTCACTGCTTTCAAAATATCATGGAACTTCTTCCCCAATGTAAAATGGCAGCTGACAACAGGTCTCTCACAACTAGAGGTACCAGGAATAAACTGCTTTGCGCGGCTTCGGGTGGGTTAATTCTAGTTTCATTCTCCACTTGTCATCTATAAGCAGAGAACCACATACACGATCCTCATAAAGCGCCACAAGAATGACCTGAAATGAGTGTGTGAGGCTGAGCAATGCCTGTGGTGATGCCATTTCCACCTGTCACTACTGAGCTCGTGCGGTATATTTCTGTACAAGCCTCCTCATTATGGGCAACACATTATTTGAAGAAGTTGAGGAACATGAGACTTTGTGAATCCCACCTTCTCAAACTTCACTGCATTTTAAATATTTAAAAATTCTTATATTTAATGGTCCATTTTGTTTTAAAGAGGTGTTCATTCAAGTAGCCCTGAGGTAATTTATGTCATAAGGTCACGATAATTGCCATGAAGCTACCAACAAACTTCTTTTATTTTTTTGTTTAGTTTTTTTTTTTGTTTTTTGTACCAAGGATCAAACTCAGGACCTTGAGCTTGTGAGGCAGGTGCTGGAACCTTTGAGCTAAATCTCTGGCCCCCCTTCTTTTATTTTTTTATAAATCAAAATTAAACAAAATAGAGTTCGCTTGACTATAACTTTGTGGTTGGTAATGAAATTCTTTGTGATTTCTTTTATGTGTTTATTCCAATTGATCTCAGACATCAGGTTTCAACTTTATATGTCAAACTGCAGAGTTAGGAAATCACATGAAATGATGTTCACCAGTTCTATTTGCAAATGCTGGGGTACAAAATAATCAAGATATAACCCCTACCTCAGTCTCTCCTCAACTAAGTCTTACTGGAGAGACAAAGTTTGATTTTCTAATTGGCTTAAATGCCAAATACTACATCTCAACATCTATTAATATATATTTATAACACTACATTTAATTTTTAAGATTTTAAATGTTGTTCAAAGTAGGTATTTCTATAGATTAATCTTCCCTTTTAAGGTGATTCATGGCATTTCTATAATAAATTAGGTATGATATTCTAAAAACCTAAGGACCTTTACATATTTGCTAATTTACCACGATCACAGACAAAAACATCAGTTAAATTCTAATTACATTTCCAAAGCTCTAGAGGCCCACTGAGTCATTCAAATTTGATTCAAATTGTACTGAACAAGGAGACCAATCCCCCAAGGTTTAAATGCATTAAATTGGACACTTAGGGAGATGCAGGACTTCTTTTGGGCCACCTGGGCAATGCAGAACTCACAATGAAACATACATGGGAACCAGAATGATGGGAGGCTCATGGCTTTGAGCTGTTTCCCTACTGTGGATTCATTTGGTAACTCTCAGTATACTCACTCTCAGGAACTCTGAGGTTTTGCTTGGAAGCTAGTTGTTATATTGCCATCTCTAGGGGAAAATCTCAAAGGTTTGGATTACTAGTGGAGGAGGGTTACTCAGTCATAACCTCACATATTAAAAAAAATAACTGAAAAACCAGGGTGATAAGGCTCTGTGAATTTGTAGCCACAATTTACCATAAATGATACTATGTAGATGTAGAGGTAAAAAAAAAAATTGAAGCAATCAAAAAACAGAAAATGTTACCTTTAGTCAGGGATATTTTCTTTTTATATCCCTACATTTTAAAAATTGACTGGGGGCTGAGGATTTAGCTCAGTGGTTCTGCTGCTTGCCTTGAAAGAGCAAGGTCCTGAGTTTGATCCCCGGTACCAAAAAAAAAAAAAAAAATAGACTGGAACTAAATATTAGTTTGAAAATTTCGACTGTTTTCCTCAGCAATGTTAAGTATTCAGCTGAAAATAAAAACTACTTCTTAGAAATGATTGTAATCACTGAATTTAGAGATACATCTTGATAATTCAAAACTTACTTGAGCATTTATAATTGTATAACTATTTTGAGAATTTATAATTGTATAACTGAATCACATGGATAAATATGATTTTTTTGATGTCATATTTATAATTAGCAGAATGATTTACTATTAGAAAAACATGGCATTTGGTTTTTGTACCAAGGATCAAACCTCAAGTTGAAAGGCATATGTTTAAGTTTTCTGAGTTTAAGGGGCCATGTGCTAAAACGATGCTTTTTTAATGGAAGCACATTAGACAGTACCCTTTAACAATCTCTATAAACTAGCTAATCATTGAAACTCATATTGATTCACATTCAGTAACAAAGAGATTCATTTGATTTTGTAAATATAAAGGGAAATAAATATTTGTGGAGAATTTTGAAATTATTCTGATTTTTGACCTGACATAAAATTGTATCACAGGATCACAGCCTGATTTTATTTAGCTCTAGACTTCCATGTGTGCCACCTCCTTTTCAATATCCTTTATAACCATGGTATTGCCTTCAATCATGGAAACAAGAGGGAGAAAATTCCCTCAGGGAACATGCATCCTGCAGACGCCATGTACAAAGCCAGCCTGAGAAACCCATTATTTTGTTAATAATCTTCTTATGAATTCTAAGTCTTTACATAGTTGTAGATTTACATTTAGCTTTTATAGATTTATATCATAAAACCTGAAGTCATTTTCTTTATTCTACGAGACTCTTCACTGTTTCTCCTTTAAATAAAGTCCAGAACAAATTATTAGTAGTCTAGTCAGATGTGGTTCTCTGTGATATTTTATTAAGCAAAGTTACCTAGGTGGTATTATTCAAATTTTGGAAAAGAAAAACAACTATCTATCTAAATCCCAGGAAGAAGGATGGAGGCAGGAAGCCGGGACATCAGCAGCTACTACTGCTATTTGCACACCACTCTTGCATCCACAGAAGCTTCCCGTGACAGATGCACAGCACTGCTGGGCACCTGATTTTATGCAGTCCAAGCATCATCTGAAATTCTGTCCTGGGAAGTCTAAGGTAGATTAGTTTCAACAAACTCTGAACTAAAGATGTTGGAGAAATGTAAATGACTCTGCTCTGTTTCTAACTGTGTTCACCTTTTCTGGTGCTTTCCTTGTGGTCCCATAATAGCATCTTTAAGAAACAAGTGTGTTAGAGATTCACTAACCCTGATGAGAAAGAGGTTAAGAGAAATGAAACATATTCATTGACCATGATGAGAGAGAAGAGAAATGAGGCACAGAAATCATTTAATTTATAACGGTTTATTGTACACTGATTTTTTTGTGACTTTAACCTTCTCCTTTTTACAAAACCTCCCCGTAGTTGGTATGATCAGGATTAAAACAATTACCTTCCAAAAATCCTTGTCTCGGGACTTGCAATTACCTACTACATTTCATCTCCAGAGTAAGGAACTTTATAAAATCCCAAGTTGCCAAGTTAAACTCATCCATTATAAGAGACTAATTGTGTGTGAGTTCTATCTGTTAATGTATCTGCTGCAGTATATTTCATACTTGCTAACATCATATTTCTTACAATTTCTCAGTGCTCTCCTCTCTAACTCTACTGCTAATACCATCTCTTGCCTATACTGGTGGAACCTTACTCTGACCTTTTCTTTCTGGCTCCTTCCCATTGGTCTTCCTCCATAGCAAAGGTGAGCTTTAAAGTGTGAAGGAAAATGCAAACACTTGAGTGGCTTCCCAATTCTTAACATGAAATTCAAGGCCTTCACAAGGTGGCCCCTTGTTTTCTTGACTTCTACTCCATGCTTTACCTACATTGTTTACAGTTCTCTGCAAATACCAACTCTCATAGCTCTCATGTGCTTCTCCCTTGTGTATACCATCTTATCTGTATCTGGTTAAGTCACATACCATACCTCCAGTCATACTCCATCATACTCATATGAAAGGTGGACGGGTTATGAATATGGACATTAGCCTAGCATGGTGCTGCATGCCTGTAATCCTAACACTTGGTAGACTGAGGCAGCCAGCCTAGGCTATATAGTGAGTTCAAGACCAGCCTGAACTATATAGTGAGAGCCTGTCTTCAAAAAAAAAAAAACAGAAAAAGAAAGAAAGAACCTTGGAGTAAACTTCCTGAGTAGGGTTCTGCCCTTGCTAATAGTTATATAACCTTGAGCAAGTTATTTAAGGTTTTAAAATTCTCCTCTATAACTTGAGGTTAATAATAGAGCATAACTCAGAATGTTGCTTTCAGTATTACATGAAATTATTCATGTTTAGTACTTAGCACAATATACATATATATATATATATATATATATAGCATTTATAGTGAATAATAGCAATTTTCATTAATAGTACCACTACCATCACCAGTACCTGTAGGCTAGATTGGTGTCTACATTGACTAGCCTTTCTACTAGCCTTCCTGAGCCTTAGGGAGCATTCAATATGTCATTAGAGAAAAAATTAGATGAATTCCTAATATGTGCCAATAATACTGTAGTTATGCTCCTAGAAGACAAGATTCATTTCCTCATACTCTGCATTTGCCAACTATTTTTTCAAGAAGTATTCATTCAGTGAAATGATAACAGTGAGGGGCAATCAATCACAGATTCCCTTATGGCTTGTAAGTGGAATATTATTTTTTTTCCTAACTGATGGCTTACATTTACCTTTATCTGGATTTAATCATTGTTCCTATCACATTTGCTGATTAACAATTCTGAATGAGTTTTGTTAATATTTGGAAAATGTACAATATACTGATTAGTCTTATGTTAACTATTAATTACTATACCATAAAAGTCATCTACTCACTATTTATCAATATTTTCTCAAGCTGGAAGGGTAAGTTTAAAGCCTCAAGAGAACTAGCTCTTTCACACTGTCAAAATGATAAGTTTATATCTTTTCTATCATAGTTTGAGAAGGATGTACACACTTCTTTGGCTCACTTCACTTAAAAAACCCAGCAGTCACTTAACACGATCTTCTATCTTTCTCCTGTTCTCATGCTAGCTTGGTGCTCCCTACCTTGGCTCTGTGTCTCCCCAGTGTGCTTCCCTAGGTTAGATAAGTACAGTGAGCACCGTGACCACCTCCTTTCCTAGTTGGAACACAGTGCTTGGTACATTTTATTGTTGTGTTTTATGTTTTGTTCCCCCCAAACAGATGAATGAATAAATAAATGTCAGTACTTGACTCTTTTCCAGTCCTAAACATTCTCTTTATTCCAGGATACCCTCTTGGTTTTTCATTCTGAGAAAAAATTTCTATCCTTAATTCAAGAGCACCTATTCTGCTGCTCTTCAACGATTTTCTATGAGCTATCAAAGAAGGATTCTAAAAATAAGCTCTAATAGGTCCCAGGGTTTTGTGTATCCTATTTCTTATGGATCAGAAGCATTAACTTGTATTTTTATCCTGTGGTGAGCCCCAACTCTGGTTTGTAATGATGCTTCACAGACTTTGCTGTATTCTATTAGGTATAATTTAGTGGTTTTCAATACATGTGTTTTGTGGGCCACAGCTGTAGCTGAGTGATACAGAGCTTGCCTAGTATGTACAGGCCCTCGGCTCAATAGCGAGCACTACAAAAAATAAAATTAAAAAGCCAGAGGTGTTTCATATTTCTAACTCTGTGATGAGAAGATGGATGCACTGTCAGAACACAGATTTAGTCTGAACAGCCAGAATTTTCTTTCGTGCAAGATCACTTCCTTGCTCATTTAATTTTCATTCCAGCTTTGCGACAAAGAAGCCATTATTCCCTTTTCACCCATGTGTCTCTGAGAGACCAGGTGATGCGATCACCTGCTTACATGACAGGATTTATGAAACCATTCTGATCCACAATTCAGGGCTGCAGTACACCAAATTTGTATCATGTAGATTAATACATTCACAAAATTCTAGGTGCCTTCATGCATAATTCAACAATCACAGTCTTGGGATCATTATTTATATTCTAAATGCACTGTCTTTGTAGAGATAAATTCAGGAAGCCCAAATTCCTTCATCATGGATGTACAGCTCATGGTACTAAAAATGTGTTTATGATTAAAAAGAAACTAGATTAGAAGCATGCTAAGTATATCAATTATACAGTGATCAAGTAGTAAAAATAAACTGAAGGGAGAATATGTTCCTTTTTCCACACATTTTTAAGCAGGTTCATTTCTACTGTGTTCACATTTATTCTGGATTCTAATTATTTTTAACTACAGAGCATAGAGCACCCCCATGAAAAGTCTATTGACAAGGAGAATGAAACATGTTATTGAAGAAACCAGTTCTTTCACGTTGCATGGTTATATTTCCTCTGCTCCCTTAGATTACCCTACTGCAAGGAGAACTGTACATCTGCATGCTAATGAACTATGTTAAATACTGACCAATCCCCAGGTGGCTGTCCTGGTTCTGCACAGGCAGAGCCCTTGCAAAACTACTATGGAAAGGCCAGCTGATGACCTATTGATCTTTCCCACCTTACGCACCCACAGGGATGCATTGGTGACAAATGAAAAGCTTGAGAAAATTGCCACACATCGACGGGGATTTCAAAAACTCAACACTTAGGCTCTCACTCCTCTATAACAGAGGAGCCCTTTTCTTAATGTGACATATACTTTTTTGTGCAAAAAAAGAGCCAACTATTTAACAATGAATTACCTTATGCACACTCTCGGGCACACTACATATTAAACATTTGTACTTTTCCTTTAGGAAAACTTGAATGTCAATAAAATGATAGCTGCAGTTCAAAAGCCAGTATTCACATAGGCTATTTTTCAGTATAATTTATGGGAACAATCTCCAGATATCTATGGATGCTTTCAACATTATAATTATGTGAGTTTTGTCAAATAGACTCTACTGATGCAATCTCCCCATAAATGTACTGGATTCCTATATTTTATAGTCAGAGAGCAAGGGGTTAATGAATATTTGAAAAGAAAGCAAAGAGATGACGGGCAAAGAGGAGCCTTGTGGAAACAGCAGAACAGAATGCAGAAGTGATGGGTAACAGCTGGAGTGAGATTCTGGAGGCAGAAGCAGAGTTAAATTGAATACTCCACTCACTCCATCTATCTTAAGGCAAAAAAGCAATTGCGTCTAAGGGGCACATTTTCAGCACTGCACAGGGAATTAGCCATGAAATTCTCATTAAAGATAATGGGAATTTCTATTACAACTTTCAGTACATTTTCTGAAAGTTCTTCGCATATATCTTTAAACATAGGTTTCCTAAAAATCAACTGCTGGGCAAAAACATTCTATGCAAGCATGGTAGGGTGTGATTGTCTTTGATCTCACTTCATTATACAGGTTAGCAGAGAGGTAATCACTGACCTTTTGGGTTGGGTAACTGAACACTCAGGCATTTGCAAAGATATTGACTATGCTGAGAATGTGTATGAATAAGAAACTACTGTGTGTAATATAGGAACTTCAATACCATAAGCCACCAGGTTTCAATTTGCTTCTTAATATTACAGACACTTAAGCCTGGAATCTTTCATCAATTTACCTCTTTTTTATTTTACTCTTTAGGATTTAACTGAATAGGCTGCTCACAATCCCAGCTGGCTGAAGATCCTCAACACCACCTCTCTATTCCTGTGTCCTCCTACTTGCCACTGGACTTCTTCCATACTCCTCAAAGGTTCTCTGATGACACCCATACTAAAGGAGGTATCTAGTATGTAGTTTTTATCTGTCTCTCCAGTTCTTTGACACTACACCACAATTGTTTTCTGAGAAGTTTATCCAAGATATTAAATAGAACTTTGTTTCCATACATTTTTACTTGATCTTTCTGTTTTATTTTGGGGCAGTTACGCTTCAGGTTACACAGTGGATGAGGAGGTAGAGCACCAGTAAATATTAATCTTATAAGTACTACTGGTGATTTGTCACTTTTCTCGACGGCTACAGTTGGCAGCTGTGTGCATCAGCTTTCTGTTACTGTGATAAAACATTTGGAAATAACATCTTAAAAGGAGAAAAGGTTCGTTTGGGCTCATGGTTTCAGTCCATGGTCATCCATCTCCATTGCTTTTATGCCTGTGGTGAGGCAGGAATATCAGTGAAAGTCATGGCAGAGGAAAGCTGCTCATCTCATGGCAGCCAGGAAAATGAAAGCGAGGGAGGGAGGGAAGGAGGGAGCGGGGAGGGGAGACAGAGAGAGAAAGGGGGGGGGAGTGCCAAGAGATGATATATCCTTCAAAGTCATGCCACCATGCATGACTCATCTTTCAACTAGGCCCCAGCTCATAATTTTCCACCTAATGTCATCAAATTATCAATAAAACCAAAAGTTAATCTAGTAATGATATCAGAGCCCTCACAATCCAATCACTTCCCTAAAGCCTAACCCAGGGATATTGCTGCATTACGGACCAAGCCTTCAATAGATGACCCTTTATGAGTCATTTCAAATTCAAACCCTAAAATCAGCTGATTATTCTTTTCTCTCCATTCATTCTCTTGGAATACCTCCTGCTCCTAATACCCAAAGTACAGTCCGTGAAAATTCTTAGCAATGTTTTAAACCCAGATCAACTATAACTCTGGAAAGCCTTCTCTGACATGGTGCAGTCCATTCACAAGGCATCCTCATGTCTGTTTTTCCAAAGCCCCTTTACTTGATACTTGATGTATATAATATCTTTAGTCTTCGCTGACTGCAAATCTAATGATATTGAAAAATCCAACATATAATAGTGTAACAGATGTCACTTGCAAATGTGAATGTTTTTAGGATAAAGCACTTTTATAGAAGGTAACAGACAAAAGTAGAAGAATGAAACTGTTATCATACTTGAAATATTTGACTTCTCCTTATTAACATAACAGAAATACTTGTATTATTTATCTGGTTATCTAAATTAGCATAAATTTCAGTGTTTACTTGCCTATTTTATAATTTAGTAAAATCTAAAAATCTGGATTCATTTCTAATTCAAAGAATATATGAGAGTAATTAACATTTTCACTTACAGAAAAGACAATGCTACCAATCTACCATGAGTAGGATATACTTTTTCTTCAGAGCCGCATTATTTCAGTATTTTATATTTTTTCTCCTAAAGATAACAGCATAATCTTAGAACTACTCCTTATTGGAAATGTACAAAACTCTTGGATCATCAGCTGGCAAAAACATCTCTTTGGTTCCATTTAGCCATCTTTCTAGTGATTTAGAATTCAAATGTCTCTCTAATCTTGTTTCTGGATCTCTTACAAAACTTCTTTTGCACAAAAATAAATGGATACATTTGAAACTTTCATTTATGTATGGAAGTAATTTATTCTATTTGTCCCATACATAAATCTAACCCACATATGGATCCCAAGAGCAAACCAATTCCTCTGAATGTATATATCTTCACATAATACAAAAGATGCAGCTCTCTTATTTGCTGTATTGGGACTCTGATTACCTAAGTCAGGTTACCTTGAATGCTCTACTTTTACAAGATTCTGCATTACCTAATCTGGGCCTATTTGTCAGTTTGTCCTTTGATGTCATGGTAATGACAGAATAAAATATTATGAAGAAACAGTCTTTTAAAATTCAAAGTGCTTATAAAACTTGTTAATTGATATTAACTGAGTAAAAGTTTTACAGTTGCTTATATAAACCAAGAGTTACTACACTATCTTCATTTGGAATAAAAACTATTCTATTAGCCATATTGGCAGTACAAATTTCTTTCTAGGTCTATCTGTATATTAACTTGTGAATTTAATTTCCTTAAGAAATGTTTAGTATTACACTGTGGTTACATGATGAGTTCAACAAGCTTCTGTTGGAGGGCAAATCCAGGGAGGAAGGCCCTGGGAATTCATCCACCACTGGTAACATCATTAAATGTGATAATATATCATAATTTCCAAATAACCTACTAATAAGTGCATTTGGGAAAGAGATCAGTTTTAATCTAGTTCCGAAAACTTTTTATATGTTAAAGCTAATTTCTACAACATGTTAGTTACAGCCTCACAATGGATTAGGCAGGCAATAGCTAGTATGATGTCATCACTGTTATTTAACAGATGTGGCAAGTTGGCCTTGCAGACAGTTTCCTTCTCACATCTGTGTGGGGCTGTACCCACAGGAGGGTTAGGATGCCACGGAGCAGGGTGCAGGTGCAGGCACAGTGAGGTGTCCTAATGATGCCACTAGCAACCTCCCTCCAGATGACGGAATGCAAGGTATGTTAGTTAAAAATGCTGGGCCTTGTTTTATGGAAGAGACTAAACCTCACAAGAAACCACGAAAACAAAAAGGAATTCATGTATACAGATCTCCACTGTTCAGGTTCAAAGATGTCACAGGCCAGGCAGCATTGGAAGATCTGAACTCAAGTCAGCCACCTGCCTACCAGGCCAACCAAGGCTCTGACACCACTGATAACTCATTACCAAATCATACAGAGTAAAAAACAGTACGAGGATAAAACTCTTCCAAACAAGTCCTTAGAAGGTGAAACACTCTGATTCAGACTTCTTGCCCTCTCTAGAAATTTCTTTGGTACATTCTTTATGCTTACAGGTACCCCTGCAACTTTTTACTTCTTTCCATTGACTAAGGAAGCAGAAAACAGTATAGTGGATGGAAAATAGTATCTTTGTTTTTGGACTCAGTAAGATTCATGCTTTTGGTTTTATAACATATGCAGTACACTGATCTATACTGGTTAAAGTAAAAGAGGCTGGCTATCAAGCAGGGGCGGGAATAAAGAACCAAAACAAATTAAATTGCCACACTGAATGGAAAGATGCTGCAGGAAGAAAGGGAAATTTAGAAATCCCTGTAGCAAGCTTTTGATTGCCTGCAACAAATAACTGGCACGGGCACAAAAGAGAACCTGAAAAGTGACAGACAGTGCTGATTCAATGCCTTGAAAATATTCAGTTTGGCAAAAATGACTGTCAATAAAGCAGGCATATACACAATATAAGTCTTTGTAGGAAAAGAAATGCCAAAGATATAAAGTGCTTTCATTTATTAATAAAGAAGTATAAATTAAAGCAATACTCTAATATAATTGTACAACTAGTAAAGAAGCACAATATACAAAAGGATTCCTATATCCTGTGCAGGCAAGGTAAGGGTACAAATGCTACCTACACAGCTATCCAGCCTCCTGGTTATACTGTACAGTAGGGAAACCCTTTTGGGAATCTAAACAACATTAGCCAAAGCTTTCAATTCTTTGACACAGTAGTTCCTTTTTTTTTTTTTGGTACCGGAGATCGAACTCGGGTCCTTGCGCTTGTGGGGCAAGCGGCGGAACCACGGAGCTAAATCCCCGGCAATAGTTCTTTTTTTGAAAAAATTAATTTTATTGGTACATTTTAGGTATACAATATAATGACATTCATCATTGGAAATTTGTACCTTTACGTAATCTATCTGGGTTCTTATTTTTCCCCATTCTCCTGCCCTCCCTTCAACTGACACAGTAGTTCTAACTGGAGAATTTTTGTTTTGTTTTATTTTAGCTTTGAAAATGAAACTGATGTTTGAACAGGAGCATATAGAAAGATGCCTCTCTGACGGCATTACATGCAGTAGAGAAAGAAATCATACAACTTTAGTAAATTGTGATATACACAACGGTTGGTATATCAGGTAGCAAATAAGCTACATAGATAAAGAAAAAGTCTGTGTTAGACCCTGTTGTCCTGCTATCTAAGAATACCTGAGACTGGGTAATTTATAGATGAGGCTGAGACATTTAAGGTTGAGAGGCCTGCATCTGGTGAGGGCCTTCTTGCTGCCTTATCCCAGGTTGAAAGGTAGATGGACAAGAAAGCACAAGACAGCAGAAAGCATGAGGGGGTCCAATTCACTATTCTAACAACTCATTCTCGTGATAAGTAACCACTCCCATGATAATGACATCAATTCACTCTTTTCATGACAGAATCAGTGCTTAACAAAGTTCTATTTCCCAATACTATTTCTTTGGGGACTGAGTTTTCAACATGAACTTTTGGGGACACATTCAAAGTCTACATGCACATTTTGAAAATACATATACAACTGCTCTAAGCATAAAACAGACTACTAACCATACACTCTGTTCTTGCTGTGCCCTCCAAAATTCACATATTGACGCTTAACTGTCAGTGGGGTAAGAGAAGAGGTGGGAACTTCAGCAGGTGAATAAATCATGAGATTAGGGCTCTTGTGAATGGATTGGGACCCTGATAAAAAAGGTAAAAGGGAGCTGCCTCCCTCCATTTTGCCCTCCGCTCCTTCTGCCATGTTCTGCTTATTCAAGGTGCCATTTGGGAAGCAGAGACCGGGTCCCTGAATCTGCCAGCGCCTTGACTCTAGACCTCCCACACTGTGAGGAAGTAAATTTTTGTTCTTTTTAAATTACCTGGTCTTGAGTATTTTGTTACAGCAGCACAAGCAGTCTGATACACTACATACATTAATTAAGCAATGTTTCAAATGTATATTATTTGATCGAAGTTGTGAGAGGATGGAAAATGTAAAAAGGTATGTTTGAAGAGAAAATTTTGAAAAATTTTACCTTTTATTAAATCACCTTTCAATCTTGCTTATATTGCTTAAAAAGCAAACACTTGATTTTAAAAAGAGACCATCCTATTCTTCCAAAATTCAATAGCAATAGAGACCTTAAACAAAAGTGAATGGCTGAAGAGAGCATTAACTAGAGAGTTTATCAGCTGCCTTGTAAAGCATGCGAAGGATTACCTAGTAAAGAGAATTTAGTAAAACCAAAGCCACATTAAGTGCTATGAGAATGTTTTAATAATTTATAGAAAATTATCTTCCCACTAATCTTATATCCACTATTGTATGAAGCTTTGGCACTGGATTCAGAATGGCATTAAAACATCTAAACATTAATGCAAATTAAATCTGCATTTTCCTTCCAAAATCCATATTCTTCCTTTTAGTATCAAACATGTGCAGTCTAACTTAATATTTTAAAAAATATTTTAGATACCTGTTTATGCTCAATAAAATCAGAAAAGGCAGGAAATAGATTAATGTGGATACCGAATCATATTGTTGACTATTTCTTATGTTGACTTGAAAAGTAAATAATAAAAATAACTTGTCTAATATTTATTCTGATTAACACTGTTTTCTCCCTTCTGTTGGAAGATGAGGGCAAACCTCCCTGTTCAATGTTTCAGGCAGGTGTGGATCAGCTTGGGTTCTTCTCTTGCTGTCTGAATTAGAATTATTAAAGGATTATTTTAGGAACAGCCTTCTGTGGGATTTTGAGTTCCAAAACAAATTAGCACACATTTTATCTCCATAAAAAAATCCAAGAGGAGACTTTACTGAAAAATTAAGATTATGTCAAGCTCTCTATTTTATTCTGCATAACAGAAAAATAAAAATGTATAATTTTCAAATAAAGTTTAAATTTAGCACTTATCATGGATGTATTAATGCCAACATCTTAATAAACATCTCCTGAAATTAGCACTCTATTTGTTTTGAATTAGAAATAGAGTCAATTTTTTAAAATTTCAGTGTTTCTTATGATCCTTATATACCAATCAATGAAAGCAGTACTTACAAAATAGTTGTATAACTTCAATCTGTTTCTCTGTCAAATTTGACACCTCTCTAATTTTAAAACTGTTCATGGATCATCTGTGACAGTAATCTGGACAATCCGGTCATGGTCTTCAATGCTAAAGGGCAGATTTCCCTGCATTGACTTTCAGTAAATTAATGTAGAGGTGAAAATACATGCTTGTAAGTTACGTTGAAAGGGTCTCCTTAGTTGTCACAGTGCATCTAGTCCTCTCATAACTATGATCTCGAAGTATGGCAAGGTAGAACACAAAGAAAGTAATAATATTTGCTGGGGCCACCATGAGCCCCTTGCTGTTCCATGACTACTGCTCGCACACTCCCATCTTAGGACGTCTGTGCAGCTGATCGTAATGCTCAAAAGCTCTTCCTATGAAACATGTGCATAACTCACTGCTTCATTTCACACAGGTCTCCAATGAATTCTTCCCACTCCATGAAAAGAGGTGCCTTTAACTCTTGTCACCTCACTCCTCTGATTCCTGTTCTCTTGTGTATTTCTTCCACCTGCCACACAGCGTATTGTTTGTTTACTTTATCATCCATTTTCCTCTAACAATGTACATTATATGAAATCAGAGACTTTATTTTTCCAATGCAGTAACCCCAGCACCTGGAGCAATGCTGGCCCCTAATTAGTGCTCAGTGGACATGAGTGAAAATAATGAATGGGTGAATGAATGGTAACAGACTGAAGAAACACAGGTCTATCAAAAAGGAAAGATCTCTAATAGTAAAAAGGTTGTAAAATAATGTTGGGTTCACTCAGTTATAGATAATATTTTCAATTGAACTGTCAGTAAGCTTGCAAGAGCACAAAGTATATAGCAATTAAAATAAAGGTTTATTACATGTTTAGTTGACTACAAAAAATGTTCACTTCAGTGAAATAGTCTTGCTAGACTTCATAACCAAGATCATAATGTGTAGTACTTCAAAACTAGTCAAAATAAAATTTTACAGATGAAAAGATGCTGCCTTGAATGGCCTCTCTCCCCTTTTTACCTCTACAACCCAATCCATCAAATCTCAATTTGAACATCACTTTCTCTATGGAAAGTTCCAAGATCTAACCACCCCCAAGAATGAGAATGAATTTCATCCTTTAGCTGTAACTTTCCTAGTCATTGATAAGTTCTTGTACTCTGGTTTTCCTTGTGTGTTAGTATTCATCATTGTGTAATATCTTACGTTGTTTCATTATCATTGTTATTGTTAGTTTTTTATTATTTGCTTTTCATGCTTTTTGTCTCCACCACAAATGTCTCTGATTTCTGATGTTACAGAGCATGGTCTTCAGCACCAACTACAATCCTTTGTTTAAAAACCATGTAAATTTGAATAAATAGATACCACCTTCAAAATCTGGTACTAAGAAGAGCTATGTGTCTGATAGAAGACTAGCTCCCTACTCAGATTAAAATGATGACTAAAATCTAGGTGTGGCTGTACATGTCTGTAGTCCTAGTATTCTGGCAGGGTGACGCAGTAGGACTCCAAGTTCAAGCCTAGCCTGGGGAACTCAGCAACTTAGCAAGACTCTGTCTTCAAATAACAAAGGAAAAAAGAGCTCAAGGATGTAAGCTTAGTGTGAATCAATCCTAGTTCAATCCTCAATACTGAAAGTAAGTAAGTAAGTAAGTAAATAAATAAATAAAACTAATCTTCTGTTCTATTATTTCTATCCACAAGGTTTTATTTCCTCATGAAAATGAGAGATGATAGAAGAAGAGTGATAACTATGAGGAGGGATTTGATGAACCTAGCTGCCTCAGAAGGAACATAGTTGTCTAGGATAAATGCCTGAATAGGGCCTGGGAAAGATTCTTCCTTGAGTTCTCCAGAAAAGCATATTAAGTGAGCTCCTGAGCCACCACTGTTTTTGATGTGGGAAGGCAGCACTAACTCCCTAACAATGTCTAACTCACAGCACTTGGCTTACAGGGATGTGAGCCACTGAATGTTGTGAGAAAAGTTTTATTAAGCTAGTTAGATTCAGCTCCTACCAGGAAAATCCCTAGAGCAAGTAAGAAGGATGCACATTTTTGTACCTAAAATACAACTGTGGTAATATAAATGCAAAAGGGATAAGATTCTGGGCCACCATAATATAATTGTAGAAGTGCATAGTCACTAAAAATATAAGAAGTAAACCCAGAAACCATCCACAATCTTATTCCAGATGCACCTGAGTCCTGTGAATATTTCCAGTTTTAATTTCATTTAGCCAAAATGTAGACAAGGACCACCACACAGAATGTGGACTAAGGAAGACGTAAGCAAGGCGGGGAAGTTCACATACCGGTGCACACCGCTGTTGCACATGATGATGTGGCAGGCTCCCAGCCTGTCGCACAACTCGGAGGAAACTGACAGCAGGCCAACCCCAGAGGCACTGCAAGCTGTGTTTGCACAGGCAGCTATGCGTTTGGATCTGATGAATGAGGTTACCAGGCGATAAAGTTCATCCAAAGCATTGAGAGACCTCATTAGCTGCAGAAAAAAGAGATGAACAGAAAGTTCAACATGTTAAGCAGAAATCCTTTTATCTGGGATGTATCAGCTGTGGTAGCTTTTAACAAAGTCTATCATTTGGTTATGGAGGCAACAGGATTGGAGACCAAATATAATTACACATTGCTTAAGAAGAACAGCAGAAAACTAAGGGAGGTTTGTGAATAACAAAGTATCAGTAAGTGTAAAGTCTATTTTTACCTTATCTACATAGGCAGCTTTGGATGTGGAGTTTGGTGGCGAGTTTGATTTGTCCACATAGAATGCCCTGTAGGAACACAAACAAAATTGTTCATTGGTAGACAAACTTTAAAATGTATAACCATGTTCAACTCTCATTAACTTTCTTTTAAAAAAGAGAATAAAGCCCTAAGAACCAGGATGGTGATGTTGCACAAAAGTCAACAGGTATCCATTCAAAACAAAACAAAACAAAACAAATAAAAAACAAACCAAAAACAAAAGCAATTAAAACTACCACCAACTCCATTACATAGTACTTGGCTTTAGGTCACAGAACTGTCTTAGTAGCTCAGTTTCCTCATCTGTGATTTGGGAATAGCATCAACTTCAACTTCAGAAGACTCACAAGAAGAACCAGTTATTTAACTCAGAAGAAAATGTTTAGAACAATGCACAGCCCAAAATAATGCACAGCACAAAATAAGTGTTTTTTAATAATTGTGATAATATGGCAAAGATGAAGAAATATAATATGACTCTTGGAAAGCACTATCCAATTTTCATTAATTGTGAGAATATAATTTTATAAAACTAATACAAAACAACTTCTACTTTTAAGCAGAATCCTAAGCTGACTTTTCAGTCAGTAAACTATGTTAACAGTGAAAGTCAAACTTTGAGGATGCCCTGGTTCCTTTTTTCACTAGGATGCAACATGTAATGCCTATTAAGTTGAATTCTAATGGCTTGCAATAATTCAAAAAATTATAGCCTTACTTGCTTGGCTTCTGATTGAATACTAGACAAAAATTTGCGAGTGACTCTTTAAGATAGGATACATTTAAGCTTTTAAATTTTAACCTAATACCTATTTTTAAAAATTGTGTTAAAATGCATATAACACAAAATTTACCATTTTAAACCTTCTTAAGTATATAATTCAATGGCATTAAATACATTCACATTAACTATCTAGTTACCTATTTTTGCTGAAATGAAATTATTTCCAAGATGTGAACGTTTAATGTCAATTGTATTAGGATGAATTCTCATATTAGCTATTCAAATGGAAGTTCATTAGACTGATGAATATTAAAAATATGAATTCAAAATATGCTGGGTGTGGGGGTTACACATCTGTAATCCTACCATGGGGGAGGATGAGGCAAGAAGATTGCTTTGAGTTCAAGTTTGAGGCCAGCCTGGACTACACTGTAAGTTCAAAGCCAGCCCGCACTACAAAGCGAGACCCTGTCTCAAACAAATAAAAACAACTCCAAAGAAGAATTCAAAATATTGGCCAATTATTATCAAATTCATAGTTACTAATGGGCAAAGTCAGTGAGGGAGAACTCTATGCACACCACTGTTGGTTTTGGGTTTTTTTTGTCTTTTTAGGACAAAGAACATAGATTAATCAGATTTTACAATATAAATCAGTAAAGTGTTAACTCTAACTTCTCTAATGACAATCATGTTTATTTTTACTTTTTCTTCTTCTTTAAAATACTGATTAAACACCCTTTTCAAAAAAAAACTACAAACAACTCGGCATCCAATGTTGGCTGTTGCTCATTAGAATTCCCTCTGGATCCCAAGAGATCTGTTTTTAGGTAACACCTGTTGTTCCCTCAGCCTGAATCCACAGCTCTCATCGGCTCAGGGCACATACATTGCCAGAAGCATGGGGACTCCAGCAATACTGGGCTGCACCCAGCTCACAATGACTGGGTTACAGTGACATGAACCACGATGTCTACCAAGTTCCAAGACAAGACAGTTCCTTTTAGCTATGTGACTCAGCATTCACTACAATCACTAGATCAAGAGTGAAATCAAAGGGGTTGAAGCATCATTTTTATTACTATTCCTGTTATTACTATAATCATTTTGTGGTACTGCAGATTGAATCCAGAGCCTTCTCACTGAGCTACATCCTATAATTTTCCCAAGTATTGCCCTTGACATCTGATTTCGATCTAATGGTATCTGAAGCTAGTCTGTATTTTTTTCCTCTGATAGTGTGGATTTTCATTTTACATCATGAAGTTTAACCATAAAGTGTTAAGTATAGATTTACTTTTATTTATCCAGATAGGTTCTCAGATTGTTGATTAAACATGGAGTCTTGTCTACAACTCTAAAATAATCTCAGCTATTACTTCTCCCAGTTTTATCTTTCCAATATCATTTCTACTCTTTTCCTTCTGGAATACCCATTACACATATCTTCACATGTTCTCATGTGTTCTCTCTCTGCCTCTTTGTACTATCCCAACCCCCCCTTTAATGTCTTGTTTTCCTACTATTACATTTTAGATAATCTCCTCAGTAACATGTTCCAGATGAGTAACTCTGTCTCTATATCAAGGATAGAATTTATCCTTTCTATCAGAAAGTTTATTCTAATGATCATTGCTTTCATTTCTAATATTTCTACTTGTTCTTATTTTATTTCTGCCATTAAAAGATAAAAGCCTTACTAAAACATTAACCCTACCTGAATGTAGAGTTTATTCATTTTTGATCATTGCTGTATTAGACACTTTCCCGTAGTTGTGACAAAAATACCTAACACCCACAACTTAAAGAAAGAGAGGCTTATTTGCCTCACAGTTTTCAGTGAGTGTAGTCCATAGTTGGCTGGCTCCAGAGCAGAAACAGCATAGTGGAAGAGGATGGGAGAAAACAGCAGCTCACCCCATGGCAGCTAGAAAGCAGAGAGAGGAAGGAGGAGCCAGGGCCAAAAATACACCCTTCCAGGTCACGCCCTCTGTGACCTGCCCCGCTATGACTAGGCCTCACCTCCAAACAAGAGACTTTGGGGGATACTTTACATCTAAACCATAACAACTGCTACATCTTCAGCACCTGTAATACTGTGCAGAATATAGTATGATCTCAAGAAATATTTGTAAATAAATAAATGGAGAATTGACTTATTTTTGTTTCAGAATTTTCTGCCTTAATGAATGGAATTTCTTTGCTTACATTTTAAGCATTGAATACGTACTTTGCTAGTCTCTATCAATATATCAAATTCTCCTGGCACATACTTATTTTCAATAGCCAGTTTTTCTTCAGTCTTTCTTAGTGTTACATTTTCTCTTTGGAATTACATTTCTTAAGTTCATTTGAAGTGAGAAATTTATTTAGTTTTTATTTAGTCTTTTACACAGCTTCATTACTACCTCTAGTACTATTCTCTTAAAAATATTTTTTTGCCCACTGTATGCCTAGAATCAGAGATCTGTAACTTCTTTTCCATCAGTGATTTTACTATGACACTGTGGTTGCATCCAGATTATCAACAGTTGTATCACTAATCCAGAGAATGATTTGGTTGAGTTGATAGTTTGTGGCTGGGTTGGCTTCCTTCTGTCATCATAAGCCCAGAGGATCACAAAGCTATAGTTTCAATCAGTGGTTGGCAGCAGAGTTTTCATCCTTCACTCAGAAGTGGACAAGTTCTCTATGCTCTGATTTCAAACAGTGATGCAGGCTCTGGTTTTCCACTTACTGCAGGGCCAAATGGATTTCTCATTATTCTGCAGACACTGCCCTGGCCCCTCTGCCCACCTCCATAGCCCAGCAAGCCAGAGGCCTCAGCACAGCTTACATCTCATCATTTGCATTTGATTCCACTCATGGCCCACAGAAATGAGAAATTATTTTTTAAGCTTAGCTATAACTTTTATGTTTGTCTTCATATGTTATATAGTGTGGTTATATACTTGAAACAGAGGTAGTGCTGCAGTGTCAGGATCCTCAGAGATACCCTGATCACACATGCCTGTGTACTTGGTAGAAAAATAAGATGCTGAGAAACAGTACAGAAATCCACAACAAATTACTTAGTCTCTAGGCATCTAAGTTTCCTCATTTAAAAATGTGTATTAGAATTGACTAGTGTACAGATGCCACTATGTGGAAGTTTAAGTTAATGCATATGAAGTGCTGTCTCCTGTGATTAGCAAGGAAGATGTGTCCAACAAGGAATACTAACTATTATTCAAACTCACAATCTTCAGGGAAACATGACTTGAGAAATTTTGGCCATCATAAATAATAAGTTAAAGCCGAAGAGTTCCTGATTTTTTTTGAGGTAACCTAAAATATTTTGCAACAGTTGTTAGAAAATGAAAATTAAGTTACATATTTAGTGTACAGATGATTCCACAATTAGGGCATAAGTAGACATTTATGTATAAACAGCAAAGCACCATTTTTAGGTTGAAGGAAAAAAAGAGTGTCATTTAAATAGCTTAGGTGTGTTGACTGTAGAAACTGTAGCTCTTATAAACCTTGAATCATCTGGGGAGAAAAATATCCGTAACAGCAGCCCAAGGATCATTAGTGCAACCCAAAGGAAGCATCACCACTGACATCTGTCACCACCACTGGCTGCACTCTTTCTTCTTTCAGAAAGCCATGCTACTTGAAAATGTCACTGATTCAGCTAGTTAAGAACAGTTTAGATCTTTAGATAATGTTGATCTGATTCTGCTCTATTCACTTACAACTGACTTGACAACAATCTTCAGATATCCAATGGGGCACAGTCTTTCAAGATACAAAACCACAGTTGATGAAAAGAAAATAAATTAGAAAAAAACTTTCATGGGTTGAAAATGTAGTCCACATCAAGCAAAGCACTATTTAGGGACAATCTTTTCTTAACTGCTACACAGCTGAAATGAAATAGAAAAATAGCTAATGAAATAATTTAAGCATTCAAGAATGTACTTAGAAGAGAAAGGCTTACTATAAATGTAGAGTTAAATATGGTAATTCATCCAGATTTGTGCCAAAAGTTAATATTTGTTATTTCAAGAGAATGGAAAGCAAATTAGTGAATATTAACAAAATATTATAAGATACACCAATGAACTGATGAACTTGAGAAAAAAATATCCAAAACTATAGAAACTTCAATTCTGCTATGTAATATACATAGCAAACAAATTTTTTAATTTAATTACTTGATAAAATAAGAATTTGGTCTTGAGGCTGAAACTAATTTTAGTTGAAACAAAGGTTTACCAGCCAGTTTACAGGTATACACAGCATTTCAGGATCACTCATAGTATGACAAACTGCGGATAAGAAATAAATCCCTAATGCACTACCCTTAATTATAAAAATCTTGCAATGCCCCTTAATCAAATTTTATGGGTAAAGTTAATGGAAAAATTGGATTAATGCCAAAACTGATGATAGCTTATTATGCTTCTGAGGTTAGTAAAAATGATGTCATGGTCCTTTGTCTGAATATAGAAAATTTTATTAAGATTTTGAAAGTGCTGCTTCTATTTTATAAGGGCTGAACAGTGAGTTCTTTTTCACACTGTTGTACATTAGGCTCCATTGTGACACTTTGTGAATTAATTCTCCCACGTAAAATGAATATATTATGATACTATTTTTTCACTCAGTCCCTACAGAATAAAACACCATTGAATAAGTAATTACATCATACATTTCAACAGATAGTGACATAAATATATTCAAGCCAAATAACTACAATGAAACTAATCTTGGCGCATTCTGATCACCATCTAATAGTGAAGACGAGTACACAGGTACTCACAGTGCAAGGCAGAACGCAGTAAGTAAACTGAAGGGTGTACAGAGCTCCAGGGTGTACGGAAGGATGGTCACATAAGAGTATGTCATAGGAGCTGGACTCTGATGAATGGACAGGCTTCTTACAGGTCACGCTGGGAACCCCACACAGTAAGTGGTGGCAATGTCACGAAAACAGCAGGCCTAGAACAGTGGCACCAATAGGACTGAAGAGTGAGCTCGCATAAGGCAGGGAGAAAGACTGTTGGATAAGGTCACTTTAGTTGAAATACTCAACTAAAAAACTGCAATTAATTTGTTAAAAGTAAAAAAGGGGGCAAAACACATGCTTAGCTATTGCCTACAATAAGAATGAGCAGAAAGAAACAGATGATTCATAAAATATAAACATTTAGGGAATTTCGAGCTGCAAGAAATACTAGAAATGAAGAGAATCATTTAGCATCCACAACAAGACCATGGTAATGTAAATAAGGAACTGACGTTTGCCATGAGAGAAAGAGAACACATTTGGGGCACTCTGAGATCATATACAGAGTTATGTAAGTTAATATACTAATTTAAGAAATACGACAATGCTTTCTCGAATGGGTAAACAGTCTTATTTAAAATACTGAAATGAATTAATTTTGTGAAGGGAGACATACAGAGGTTAAATCAATGACAAAAGTAACATTCTTCTCTTTGGAAAACTCTGTTTTTCCTTTATCTGAGCCTGTTGGGGACATCCAATTTCTAGAAGAGATGATTAAAGCAGAGTTGTAAATAAAGAGAAACTACAGTTTTCCGCCCTCATCTCTGTCACATTCTTGCTTCTCCTTCAGATCACTTCTTATGAGATCATCTCCATATTTTTAATCATTTACAGAAATTTTTTGTCTGGTCAGACACATATATACTTCTCACAGTACAGTATTATATCCAAGTCCAAAATATTCTAAACTGTATCAGGTTGCTTTTGTGAATTTTACAAGTATTTAAGATTCTAGCAGTTACTCTGCGTTTCAAAAAGAACTGTAATAGTATACAGTGAGGTGTGGCTATTGATCATAGATAGGATTGTGACACCAGTATTACAGCAACTGACTATAAGTGTGACTGGGTGATGTGACTATTATGGTTAAACTGCATTTAACTACCATAGCACTTAAATTAGGGAAACAATTCAATAGAGCATGTTACCGAAAGGGACCAATCTCTTATATAAATAAAAATAGCCCGAGAGGTTTAACCTGTGGCCACACATACCTAAAGAATATATTCTGAGTAGGAAAGCAGGAGAATTTTACTTTACATCTCTATTCTACCCACCTTCCATGCCCATAAACATTAGTCTTGACTTCTCTGAAATACATTTTACTTAAAGTTACATAGAGACATTCTGAATACGAGATCATTTTGGTTTTCCTGTATATCTTTTTGTCTGTCACAAATGAAGCCTCTAAAGTTATAATTGTCAGAGAATTGCCTATCATCAATTTGCAGCTTCATTTCTACTGAACTATTGAAAAAAGCTCAAGAAAGTTAAGACAGATCATATATGATACCACAATGAGAAAGCCTTTCAGATAGATATCATTTCTTTGACTTCTTTTGTGTCCTAAAAGCACACATACGGTATGACAGGTAATAGAGATGTACCTCACTACTCCCCACTGCTGTTCATAACCTCATCTCACTCCTCCACTTTCTGAGAACCTACAATGAGTAACCTGACCAGATCAAAATTCCATTCTCTGCTTCCAAGCTTCTTTTATTCCACTTTGACTTTTGCTCTTCCCTTCATGAGGCGGGTAGGGTGACAGTCCTTTTCCCACATGTGTAACCTCAAGTTACCTCAGATGCCATGTGCTGTTAAAATACTCACATCTAGTTATTTTACAATGGCAAAACATGCCCTCCCTGAAACACACTTTGTGGAAATGGAAAGAAAAAACAGGCAAATCCTTTAAAGCAACAGAGCCTTTCCAAATAACTAACCATATCACATAAAAGCATTTCATTATAATCTGGAAAACAATGAAGCCAAGTGATATTTCTGTTATCAAAATGATTCTATTTAATTTAAAAGTTATATCATTATGGTTTGTGTCTAGATGTCTCTCCAAAGCCTCCTGAGTCATGGGTGGGGCCTTTCGGAGGTAGCTGGATCTTAAATGTGTGATGGATGGTGGGATCAAGGGTATATGATTACTAAATTAGTGCATTGCTGGGTTTGGCATAGTTCTAGATAGGATTAAGGGTGCCCCGCCCTGGTGTGTGACTGCTACCTGCCCTGAGAGTGGGTAGACTGGCTCAGATAAAACGGACAGAAAGAGGTTCACCAGTGGTAGCTACTTCACTGCTCCTTACCTTCACTGCTGGTTACCTTCTACCCACCCTGCTTTGCCATGGACTGTTTCTTCTCTGTGATGCCCCTCTGCCATGCCAACCAGCCTTGGAGAAAGCTCACTACAGACTGAAACCTCTGCAAACTGTGAGCCAAATAAACCTTTCTTCCTTAAGCTTTGGTGGAGGATATTTTGTCTTAGCAAGAGAAGCAACTAAGACATATATTTTAAGGGAATTTGGCATTTTCATATCAAAGGATAACTTTTTAGGTTTAAAACTAGAAAAATCTTATAGAGGCATTCTTAATACTCAGTTGATGGGTATCCTTTCCAACCTATCTTTCTCTGTATGGCCTATTTAACTCCAGTCTATCTTCAGGATTATGTATGGGAAGCATGGATGTTATCATTTTATTATCTTAAATGAAAATTGGTTAAATTTCTTCAGTACCCAAAACCTGAAAGGAAGCCCCACATTTGGGGGCTTCCCTGATCACTGACCAACAGGTCTTCCCATCCTGTCTCTCGGCACTGTGCCCTGCCCCACTCATGCTCAGTTTCCCCAGTACACCATCCACAGAGAAGCCTCCCCACTTTCCTGCACACTGTTCTCTCTTGCCTGAAACTCTCTTTCACTTCCTTTTGCTTGAAAAACAATTCTACTGATCCTACAAAACCCAGTTCAAATTTGACATCTTGAGAACATTTTCACTGAAACAAACTTATCTCACTCTATTATATTCAGTTGCACTCATTCTGTTGCTTGTACTAAATTATGTACTCTCAGTAGGCAGAAGCCTTTTCTTTTAAAATATGAAATCCTATAATCTAAGGAAATGCCTGACACATACTACATATCTAATATTTGATGTACTATTTAACGAAATTGAACATTATTCATGAAAGTTAAAAATAAAGAATTGGGTTACTATACTATGAAGAAACTATATATATGCATATAAAATGAAGAAACTAGCTATGTATATTATATATTAATATATATATATATAAAGATTTTAATTTGAAAGATATTTTTAAAAGGATTCTTTGCAAAGAGTGTTAGGAATATTAACATTGAAACATAATACTTAGAGGAAAGCATTTTATAATCATAAGGACTTAAAATTAGAGAGTAAGGATATTTGACAATCCTTCACTGACTAATAATTACAACCAAGAGAAAAAACATTTTCAGTGTTCCTTGCAACCTACAGTAGTACTGTTTTACCTATAAATTATTACTCTACCAAGAAATGACACAGCAACATTCTTGTGAAATTCTAAATAAGAAATATGGTTATCTACTATTACAGTGAGATTTTAAGTGTTTAACTCTTAGCTTGTATGCTTCTGCATTAGAATTTATAAAAAGCCACAGTTTCATTTATTTGCAAAAATTCAAGGTCCTCAATTACAGTACCTAATACAATGCTAGTTGTTATTATTATTCATCCTTCAAGATGCCTATTCAGTACCACCTCCTCTCTCAAACTTTCACAATATTCTTAGAATCAGCAGCTCTCCTGTATGCCCTGTTCATCTCGTAACTTCATTGTATACTCTCTTGTTTCTTAGGGACTAGTTCACATGTTTCTCTTCCCGTTAAACTGCCAGTACTTTGAAGACAGAGATAATGTACAGTTTACCTTTGTTACCTCATCACCCTACACAGTGCTAGGCACACAGTGAGTGTTCAACATATTTTATTTGAATAAATACATTAATAATTGATTTCCAAAATGTAGTGATAAATGACTGTAAATTGTTTCCAAGGAGAATGTGACTTCTTTCAAATAAGATTCTGTATCAAAAAGTCTTGAAAATTGTCTATTACGAATGGGAATTCTGGGCCAAGAAAAAATCTGCAAAGTATAATAAATTTTCTCCATCACAAAACAAACATACACTTTCACTATTTCTCTTACAAACTGTACATATAAGAGGAAAAATATGACTGGAAAAAACAATCTAGGTCTCTGCCCTATCTTAAACATCCGAAGAGCTTAATTAAAATCAGTTGAAGCAGCATGGAATTGTCACCAACTTCTAAGACATTAAAGCCGACAACAATCAGGAATGAGTCTCATCCTGTAAACAACTGTGGACATCTGCTTCTGAGGGAAGGGCAGGGCAAATGTAATAAGGCTAGAATTACAGATAGGCAGACATGAGAAAGATGTCATCAGCAGAATTTAAAGACATAGTGGATAAGGCAAAGGAAGACTATTAAGTAACTGAAACCCCTCAGGACTCCTTTGGGGTAACTTCACTTCTCACATGACCAAAGAGAGTAAGTCTTAAAGACATATTTGGACTTGAACATAATCTGCATGAAGGCAGGGACTTCGCTGTGCTTTAATGCCACGTGTGCAACACTTAGTAACCTGCCCAACAAAGCGTAGCTGCTCAGTAAATATTTACTAAATGAATCAAAAGTAAATGATTTAAGGACAAAATATAAATCAGTAATCATTAAGTAGGGACAATCTAATGCAATACTGAGTCCTTCCTGCAAAAAACTGCAAGTTTGACCAAGTTCATTCTAGTGGACAATAAATAAATCTTCAATAACTCCATGCCTTGTCCAGATATTGCCCTCTTCTAACCAAAAGTTCCCTCCTCTTCTAATCAAAAGTTTTCCCAAGGAACTCAAACTGCCAATCTCACTTCCCACACATTCTCCTGAAAACTTCGAGAACAGTGTCTTATGGTGGCCATGAATTTGCATTGGCCAAAGGCAGTGGAGACTCAGACATTACTGGCTGAACTTCTTCTTATATATGGCATCCAGTCATTCCTCAAATGGTCTGTTTCCTTGGCCTTTTAACACTGGCCTGGTGCCTTGTACCCTTTTCTTGGTTTACCTGTTTTGTCTCCTCCCTGGTGTCCTCTTCATCACCTACCTCTCGCACGTCTGGTTTTCTAAGACTCTGCTTTGCCTCACTATTCTCATTCTGAACAGTCTCTGGGGCCATTTTTTTCCTTCACAGGGACTCAAAGGTCTCTGAACTCCAGATTTGTGTATTTAGTTTTTTGGTTTGGGGGATTTTTTTCTTTAGACAAATAGTTCATAAATCAGGCACCGTGCTGTGAGAATAAAACAATTTTTACCTGTAAAAAAACCAATGATGTAGTTGGGGAAAGAAGAAAACAAATAGATAATTACAATCCAGTGAGATGGATGATCCATGAAGGTTTAGGAGAGTGCTAGAAAAGCACATTACTGAACACATTAGGCGAAGAAGGTATTAGTAGGCAAAGGGAATGAAAGCTCTTTGAGGCATAAGAAGAAACCTTATGGGTAAGCAAACAAGTATCCCATTTAGATCATGAAATTTAAATCTGTGTAAAGCTATTTAATGCCCCGGAAGAGGGGAAGGTATGGAAAATAGCAGTTGGGGAGATCACTTAGTAGATATGAACAGCAGTTGAAAAAAGAAAGAGTAGGTGAAATAAGAAAATGGAAAATGAGTGGTGCATGCCTGTAATCTCAGCACTTTGGAGAGGGTGAGGTAGGAGGATCACAAGTTTGAGTCCAGCCTTGGCAATTAAGACTGTTTCAAAAATAAAAAAGTACAGGGCTGGGGATTTAGCTCAGTGGCACCGCGCCTGCCTCGCAAGTGCAAGGTTCCGAATTCGATCCCTGGTACTAAAAATAAAATAAAATTAAAATTAAAAAGTACAATAAAGGGGCTGAGCAGTAGTTAAGTGTAAGGGCTCTTTAATTACCAATACTGCAAAGAAAAAGGGGCTGGAGAAGAAAGAGAGAGAGAAAGAGAGAGAGGGAGAGGGAAAGGAAAGAAGAAGGGAAGGAGGGAAGGAGGGAAGGAAGGAAAGAAGAAAGAGAAAAGAAAATGGTTGTGAAGGATACACAAGGTGAGAGGGAGAAGGCAAGGGAAAAAGAGACTGAGAGAAATGCCTTATTTATGATAGATACTGCTTACATTGTAATAGAAGATATGCAATTTAAAAGATTTTTCCCTTGTCCTTAGAGTTGATACACTACTGCAAAATTTGTTTAACTCTCCTGAAATCCTTGTGGTATTCAACAACATGAACTTGAGGGCAAAAAAATACACTAATCCCACAACTATGATTTCTATACATAAGGACGTGTTATTAATACTTTCATTGAATTACTTCAATAAGTACTTTTTGAGCATCAATTTAGGTGCAAAGCAATATTTTGTATTTAGAATACATCAATGTACATGTGACAAAGGCCCTCCTTAGGGAACTTGCATTCTGGGGGTTGTGAGGCAGGATGTGCTCTTCTCTCCCTGGTCAGTCAGAAGAGCTAGACTCCAGCGGCCCTTCCTGTATGAGAAAACTGCAGCTCCTCATTGCTCTTGCTGCACCTACTTTTCTGTTATAATGTGCCTGTCCCCAGGCATTCTTTTATGACATTTCTTCACCTGGGCAAGCTAGTTCTCCCGCCCTCGGAATGTGCCCCCAGTTCACTCTGGAATACACATAGGAGTATACAAAAAACCAGAGCCATGTCCCTCAGCAGGAACTGTTTATTGCTTTCCTGAAAATCTTAGCCTATGCCCTTTAGCTCAGTGACACTCAAATTGTGGCTTGCAGACTTAAGAACCTGTGAGCAAGAATGTAGGAATGGAATAATCATTTACATTCCCCTGAAATGCAGATTTTCAAAAGCACCTGTCTTACTGAACAAGATAGACAACAGTGCAGCAAGTTAGGCATTGTGTGAGCTGCATAATAATCATGTGCAGTAGGGCCACATCTCAGTAACTGATGTTTCAAAGTGAATTTCTCAACTACAAACCAAAACATATACAAAAACTGAAAATATGTACAAGCATTTATTATAAACTTGTCACCTTTGTAATTATTTTGGTATATTATTAGTGCATGTTAATATTATATGACGGTGGAGTTTGTTTTTGAAAGTAGGTATACACATTTAACATATCTTAATCAATTTCAGTCATCTTAACCCCTTTTCCCTTTCATCCTTCCCATGCTTATATTTTTCCCTGTCTCCAGAAGTCTATCTCCTGGCTTCCCGTCACCTCTCTGTATGTATGTACTTATATACATACTTTTTAAATTTCTCATGTAAGAGAAAAATGTAATAATTAGCTTTCTAAGTGTTATTAATTTCACTTAACATTATGGT